TAGGATATGTAACATATATTTAACGCAAAAGGAGGAAGGGATGGAACTCGGAGGAGAGAAAAAGAGAGGCGGTGCGCTTTAGCGCTGGCTCCCTGCTCCTTGTTTCTTCTTCTCCGAGTTCGTTCCTTTTCTATTTTCGCGCTAAAAATATGTCGTGCGTTATACACCACCAACTCGATCAATAGGAAGCCGACTTTGTACGCTCATCTTAGGAGAGGGGGGTTGACACCATGCTCACGTCTGTGTATTGGTGCCGTTCATAGGAGCAATTTCACGCTTTCCATAAGGTGCGGTGCCACCGGCTCCCAGAAACGTGACCATTAATAAGTGACGCAGCATGTCTAGCACGGAGACCCGCGGACGATACCTTCGAAGCACAGTGTGGTCCATACCGCAGTCGCGGAGGAAAATATAATGCGCATATACCGATCACCTTCATCGGATGTGGACGTTGCTTTGTCGGTCGTACATAATTGAAGGGGGCAGCAGTATAGTGCTTGGTGAGTCTATATGCCATCAGCTGCGGGCGGGCCAGACGACCCGGTCGGATGTGTGCCGCGCCCATCCTGCAGTGACAAGCGCGCTCCGAGCTGTCGTGGCCTCACGTACAAGACGAGGCTTTGCACGCGGCGTTCAACTCCTTGCTGCAAAGTACTGCACATAGAGTTTCCCACAATACTTACTAGAGGGAACTCTGGCGCTAGTGTCTATGGGAGCTACAACGCACGGCGCTTCAGCGAGCCTGGGAGTGATGGGTAGTACACACATTTGTCTAATATTAGTACTTCTGGCCTGCTTCTGACTCCGTGTGTGTTCGTGTGGCTTGGAGCTGTTTTTTTTTTCACGAAAACATAAATTAGCAAATGTTCACCGTTTGCGCTTCACAACCTTATTATTTTAAGCTTACTATTTCGAATCAAGTCCTTAAGTTCAAAAGGGTTCGTTCTTTCTTTCTAAACAAAACCGTGACCAGTAATAAACGAAGCCGCAAGTACGATTCGCTGCCCGAAAGTACGAAGACTAGGCAAATGTGTGTACTACTACCCATCATTCCCATGGTCGCTGAACGATCGCAGCACCAGAGTGCCCTCTAGTTAATTTTGAGAAACTCTATCGTACTGCAGGTGGGCGGTAGTCGTGCGATAGTTTCTCCATCTGACGTCGGCGGCAGCGCTGCGACAATGTCGCACCGCTGCCGCCAGTCCTGCAATACCGCCGCTGCTGACGTCAACTCGAGAAACGATTCTTTCATAATTGAGAGCGCGGTGCGCAGGATGAGAAAAGAAAAGCTACCAAGGAGAAATCCGGGTCTTCACAAACAACATCGATGGTGTTCGGCTGTGACGCGGAATGTCCGCGTGCCATTACAAGAAGTAACCAATGACGGCGAGAGATGAGAAATAAAGTATGTTAATCCAGTGAGACGCTGTTTTCTAAGCTGGATCAAGCTTCAGTATATGTTCATTTTTGGGGGCGAAGCTTCCTATTCCGTGGGTCGTGAGTCCGTGATGTATGTAGTAGTCGTAGTAGTAGATAGCCACATCCACGGCCAGACTAGAGCGCGGGCGGCCCGCGCGCAACCTTTTCAATTGAGGAGGAAACCCGCGCATCGTTAATCATAAATAGATGGTTGTTTCTGATGAAATAATCTACAGAGACGAGTATTGGTAACTTAATCTCACAAAATTTGCCTTGAATTCGGTGCTTACTAAAAAAAAAAACTAGTGTCGGAAGGACGCACTTTGAGCACTATCTGACCTCTAAGGGTTGCCACGTAAAACTCGCTGGGCGTAACCTCTTTGGCTTTAGCTAGTGAACTAGTATGTATAGCCATTAACTAGAGGCGGTGAAAGGTGGGAAGTAGACACGAAGCGCAGGCCGTAGGAAAGTGCGCGAGTGCAACCTCTCGTAGTACTTGGTATGTCCGCTGGAAGGGGGTACTTTTATATGCTGAATATGTGATTAAAAGATGCGAGATGGCGGTACTTGGAGTGTTCACTAGATGAATGGACGGACTGATGGACGGACATACGGATGCACGGACGGACGCACGGATGAACGGACAGACGCTTCGCCGCACTCATCATGAACTCTGTGGATATGCTGCGATTCTTTTTTTCAAGTGACCGTGACGCCCATATGTTATAAACGTACAACACGTACACTGTAGACTGAAATACGTTATGTGACATCATCATCATCAATAGCAGAAGCAGCATCCTATATTTTTTCCACCGCAGAGTGCTACCCACCAAAAATGCAGGACAAACACTTCTTCCAGTGTTTCTGCGCAAGATGATTTCATTTTATGTCTGGAACCATTTTGGCCCCTGCTGGGGGAGATCTAAGCCACGCGCTTCATTCTACGTGGCCTCCGAGATAGGCTCCTGCAGCGCGCGAGAGGCTAATTTAACGCAGTGAATGCAGCACATTACACCAACAGTGACTTGGGCGTTCCACTACAAAACAACTAAGTCAAGAATTAGACTCGCCTCAATCGTTTTAAATTTATTTGTTCCTTTTGACACCTTCGTGTTTCCCTCTCTCTCTTCTTTTCAAGCTCACTACAGACACGTAATGTATTGACCGGTGCGAAGAACCTCCATCAAACGTCCTTGCGATCAATTCCGTTGGGTGCGTCTTCTGAAATTTGAGAGATTGGCATTTCGAATGGTAACCTGAGAGGTGCGGATAGAATAAGTTTATGCAATAACACCGAATCGTTTTACTCGACAGCCAGGGCGAACTTTTCGTGGGCTATTCATATCGAAGGGCGCTTATTTCGTAGACCAAATGGACCTGATGCCACTTGCATGAAAGCTTTGTTTTCAGCCCGAGACTTATAAAGATAACCTGCAACAAAAAAAAACATTTCAGCCCTATTCGCAGTCACCTTTGTAATTTGTACCACATCGCGCAAGTGCGACGCGCCGAATTGACAGTAAGTATAGAAGGTGACTCTACGTCAGTAGATTGAAACCGAGTGTTTGCCTTGAAAGAGCCGCTAGGCGACACATAGTTCAGAGACACGAGAGCAGTTTCTTTTTCGTCTTCACTACCTTTTTATAGGCACTGTCACCTCCTCACCACTTCCTTTTTTTTAAACAGTGACAGTAGTTCTTAGTCGAGGCTTTCAAGTCAAGAGGCTATCGAAGACCAAAAACTTGTAGGTGTCTCTACTGGTAGCTCCCACAACCCTTCCCACAACGAAGCTGGACAGACAGACAGATACAGACACGGACACAGACAGACAGATAGATAGATACGCTAAAACTGCCAACAAAACCTAAGGAAATTATTGTAAACAATCGCTCACCTAAGGATCATGATCATTGGAGTAGCTATCAACGCCATCACTTCCTAGATGTCCCCACGATCTGTTACGACATACTACATCCAGATCGCGCGAGTTTCGTAGGAGACTATGGGTCACTTGCTTGACGATACCATGCAGATCAACTTCAGATCACCTAAATCACCAGAAATGCCAAATGCGCATATTGATGCCGCCACCACAATAACAGCGATTACTTATAGCTGTTCAAACACTGCGAACGAGACTGTGGAATAACCACACACAGAGAAATGAAGGAAGGGAATTTTGAGGGCTTTTTTCTTTGATGCAAAACGAATTGTCTTGTTTGTCTGCTGGTTTTCATTAAGGTAATATTTAGTTCCTCTCATGTTTTAGAGTATTGGTAACATTTTGGACGTATTTGCTCACATTGGACGGTATTTTTATTGTACAATGTGAAGTTTTGCTTCGTTTCTTCTTCAATGCCCATTAGGTCAATGTTTTCTATGCCTACATTGATACTTTTATTGTTTTCTTATATTAATGTTATTGTTAGAAAGAACGTGTCTACTTTCCAAATCATCACATCAAGTATCGTTCATATAAGTGTAATAAGTTGTCTCAAAGCGTATAGTAAACCTTGAACGGGAAGGATTTCTTCAAAAGTGAAACCAAGCAGAGAGGAATTTTTTCCATAATATTTTAAATATGAAACTGTGATGCCGCTGAAAGGACTACTGTTCGCAAAATCACGACACATACTGCGTGCAAGCAATCGATAACTCGCGATCTCGAAGTACTTTTAAAACAAATTCCTGCGCGCCGTAAATGAAAAATGGCACGAAACGCGCAGGTCTGATCCTCTCTTATCATTGTTTACCTATAAACGCGAGGGCATTACTTCAGCGAAGTGCTTAAAGTGCTGCCCATCCTTATCAGCTGTCACTCAAGAAAATTATCAGAGAGCCGGCACCACATAAGCAGCGTCCATCGGCAGTGATACGTCAGTTTAGATAAAATGTTTCTTCGGGAATGCAGAACCCGAATCATGGCGGTTTAGCGAGCACGATCTCAGCTGCGCATGCTTGAAGATTCCAGCTAACAGCAGCGTTCAGCCAGTTGTTTGGGCTCAAGTATAGACCAGAAAATACTCATGGGACAGGCGTACGATCATTTGACAAGGTGATGTCAAAACCATGAATCAGCCGTGTTTTTGCGGCTTCACTCAAGTTTCTCATTTCGGCAGCGTAGCGTAACAATATTAGCGTGCGGCCGTCGATGAAATGCCAATTTAAGATGTCAAAAAAGTTTGTATTCTAATAATTCATCATGAAAGAAGCTAGGCGTGAGACCACGGGCACAAAAGAAGGGGTCAAGATATTAGTGTTGTTTCGGCCTTTCCTCTAGTGACTGCTTTTGCGCATCTACCTTCTCCATGCATCAAACACGTAAAATCTGTGAGTTATGCATGGCATCGTGTTCGGCAGTATGATTCGCATTGTCCACCGCATTTTCGCTTCACCATTTTTGTAACCGACATTCTAACACGCCTCGAAGCTTCGATCACGCGGACGTCAACGGCGAAATGCGTGATCACGTCCGAATTGCATGAGCGCACGTGATGTGTAGCGCACGCACTGTGTACCACTACGTACTACACGCGTGGCACGCACGCGCCGCCCCCCATTCAAGTTGCCTCGCTCACCTCAGACCGGTGTCCGCGGAGGTTGTAGTTTGTGCGCTGAGGGTGCTCGGCCGTCTTGCGGCAGTGGCATGTGGTGAAGGTGACGCCCACGATGCCGCGCGCGTTGCCGGACGCCAGCCAGCCGTCCTGGTAGTAGTTGACGCGGTTCAGTCGCCAGCCGTCCTCCTCGGGCAGCTCGTCGGGCACCTTGCCCATCCACGTGAGAGACAGCACCGAGCAGTCGGTGCGCGACGACCAACTCCGTTCGAAGTGCAGGTGCATCGCGAAATCACCTTCTTCGTCCCGCCGCTCACTTTTGCACGGTCGTCCCCTCAACAACGGGCCGTCTTTCTTCTCCGAGCCGTATTGATCGCGGGCTACTCGCCGGCAGCACGCTAGACGACGAATGCGGCGAGCTTGGCCCGTGCCGCCGCCAACGACGCCGAGTCGAGAGAGGACACGCTCGCGTTCCCCCCATCGGGGCACGGAATAAGGCCCGTAAACGCCACGGACCCGCACTCACACAGGCGCGCCTCGCGATGAAATTTGACGCACGGAACCCCAACTCTACCACGTTCTGGATCGGTAGCAAGGAAGTCAGCTTGGCTTAGACGTACGACTGCGAAGCGCGCGGAGTACACTCTTGCGCTGGACGGTGGCGACTTGGCCGACGTGGTCGGACGTCATGGTGTCGTCTGAGAAGGCAGGGCGGGGCCGGCTCGGGTTGGGTTGTGGTCGTTGTAGTCATTTCGTGAGCGGGGTGTGCCGCTCGCCGCCGGGCCGCATCCCGAGCCAGCGCGACATGCGCCTCGAGTGAGTGCCCGTTTCCGTTATTGGAGAAGGAGCGCGCGGCTGTGCTGTGAGGGAGAGTGGGTAGCGAGAGCGAGCGCGCGCCACGAATCCGAAAATCGAAACCGCGCAAGCGTCGCCCTCCCACGAGGAAGGAGTAAGCAATCTTGTGAGAAGAATGCATTAGCATAATTGAAAAGCCTCTAATCTTCCAAGTACGACAACTCCAGTGTGCCACTCTACACTGAGAGTAATTTATTGTTTTGAACTTCCCGCTGGACAGCAACAAGGAAAGCATTTGATACTTAGTGTGATAAAGAAAGCTTACGTAAATATTTATCCATAATCTAGAAACCATTCGTACGAATCATCTATGGGTGAAAAAAACTAAAATTTTATGTTCAGATCACTGTGGTTTTGTTCCCAGGATGTTTACAAACAAAATCCTGCCTAAAAACGAAACTAAAGCCTTTTTGCTCAGAAGTAAGTGGCATAGTCATCGACAAGTGGCTGCTGTCAACATGGCGGCTTATGTAGTAATAGGTCGGTGTAGCTCTGCCGGTAGATTTAGAATTAATACGATCTTACGGCCCCATGGTGACATTCCTATTAACGCATGGCGCAGGCATCTAAACCTCTCTTCAAACAAGTTCTCTTACCCACCAGCCGTGCGACTGATTTGCCCTAAAAAGCTGGTAAGTTGTCGTCTAGCTTCGACTCAATGACTCGGATAGGTCATTCAAAACGTTGCGGGATGCTCGTATTCTGCGAGCAGCTGCTTTCGTTATCGTTACCGGCGCCTAAAGGGATCAGGTGATGGCCATGGCTGTATCGATGGCGCGTCATTGCTTCTGTGTCCCTGTGTGTGTGTTTCATTCGGCACCTCGTTCTCAGTCTACACTGCGTATCGCAATAACGGAACCTCCCTTTTGCGTGTATCTAATATCTATCTTCTTTCTCTGTTCTGCTTCTTCTGTTCGCCTTCTGTGTGTCACAGCAGTTTCCAAGTCGCCATCACGATAACCCTCTGCTGAAACAATTGCCGCACATTAAGGTAAAACCCAAGTACGTGTAGTCGAGTTTCATTCTTTTTTCTTGATAAACGTAGGAACTAGAGCGGAATAATGACGAGAACGAGTAGCGTGTTTGCGATCATCACTCAACGTTTCGCTTCGCCATCAATCTGAGTTGCGTATTTGCTGGCTTGACTGTGCACAGCTCCTTCAGCGGAACGTGCAGCTAGGCAAGCCCCGTAAATGCTTCCATCCCGGAGCTTCGACGCTATTACCGGCGCAGATCGGCGTCCCCTTGGAGTCCGTGAGCAGCTGGTCCATCATCAGGCAGATGTTTGTTTACCTTTGGCCGAAGGACAAGCCGGAGATTCGAAAACGAGTCGTCGTAGCCTTAGGTATATTGATCTTGGCTAAGGTAAGTCATCTTTTCTATTATACGCGTCAAAATGACGCCTGTTTGTGTGTGTGTCGCAGGGTTAAATGTGCCGAAACGTGTTTTCGCTGCCGCTCATTCAGTGTATACCTTGCGACACCAGTTTAGTTTGCTCTGGGAGGCGTGAACGACATCGTTTGATGCTGTGCAAGTGGTTGTAAACATTCTGAAACCACGTTGGCTGCAATGTGCTTTTCTTGTGATGTTCTGCGGTGCAATGGGCCGAAAGCTATATATCTGACATTGTAAAGAAAATTGTTCAGCCAGCCCAACAAGCGAAACACAAATGTTAAGTGACATCAGATGAAAAAGCCTTACCTTGTCGAGCTTACGTTAATATAACTTAAAGACAACAAGCAATATTTTTCTTTCTTCTAGGTGATCAATATTGAAGTGCCATTTATCTTCAAAGCTGCAGTTGATTACCTGAATGAATGTACGGGGAGCCGTCTTTCTCTCGAAGATGCATCGAGTACTCTAACTTCGGCAGCTTTTGCGATTCTTGTTGGCTGTAAGTTTTACTGTTGCTCGACAAATTTGAGAGACTGCATAGTTTTCTGATTTTCGATGTTCATAAAAATTTGTAAACATGTTTGCTCGCAGAATACGTTCCTTTTTGACATTTATGTATCCTTTCCCCGTTGTCCTGCATGTTTTGTAGCTGTGGTATCTGTTGAACAGTTTTAGTCTTGACGAAGGGCCAATCATTTTTTAAAACACTGAGTTTTTTTTTAACACCTTCAGATGGTTTGGCAAGGGCCGGTGCATCAGGATTCAATGAGCTCAGGAATGCAGTGTTTGCTAAGGTGGCTCACCATTCAATACGAGAGGTGGCCCGACGACTCTTTTTGCACTTACACCAAATGGACCTCAACTTCCACCTCACCCGGCAGACAGGTGCCCTCTCCAAGGCGATTGACCGTGGGACAAGGTATATTCTCATAAAACCATACATTATATCGTAATAACTGTTGGGCATTTATATCTCAAAACCATGGTACGATTATGAGAAATGCCGCAGTAGATAGCTCTAGAACTTTGGACCTCGTGGGTTTTTTGTTTTTTAGGTGCACTTAAATCTAGGCTGAAATTTCTAGCATTCTGCCTTCATTGAAACGTGGTCAGGATTTGATTCCATGACCTTCAGGTTGCGAGTTGACTGCCTTAACCAAGAGATTACGGTAGCAGAAAAAAAGAAAACGCATGCATTACTGGTAGCACAATGAAAAAGAACTCTTTAGACAGTCGCTGTGTCTTTAAATGCACACTTGCGACTAGTGTGTATGCACTGCGGAATAAATGTATAAAAAGATACCTTGGACAGGCTGGCTGACTGACATTTCTACTAGTGTACCCATCTTTGTCAAAAGCTGCTTTGTTCTCCTTGTAATGTGACTTTGAAGGGTAAGAAGAGTGACATAACTTGATGCCACATTGTCTTTCTGCAGAAACTCACAAAAACTCTGTTATTAAGTATAGGATGGGCCTTCACATAGAATTAACATCTTTCTGCCTAAAAGGGAACGTAGTTTACTCCATATAAAGGGGCATATTTACTCTATATAAGCGGCAAGTACAGTGCTCATGCACTGAAGCGAGGCACCCCAAATTTTATTGTAATGACTGGCGTAGTAATGTTGGCACTCAGGTAAGTGTTTCAATAAAATTATAGCAATAAAAAGCGAACTGCAGATGGTAGTAACAAATGTGTTTGCAGTACCTAGCCCTTAATTGTCGCATCTGAATCCTTAGCGATGTACTTGTAGTAGTTTCGTGCTCGCTATAATAATCTACAAATACACCTCATATCTTGCTTGCCCTTCCTGAACAAGATGACTCATTTGCTTTCCACTTTTCAGAGGCATCAACTTTGTCCTTTCTGCATTGGTGTTCAACATTGTACCAACCATCTTCGAAGTGGCACTCGTTAGCTCTGTCTTGGTAAGCTTTGCATCATTATATTCGTTACCACAGAGCTGTGGCGTTCCCCACTTTATTTTTTTCAGCGTACAACCACCATGAGAAACATTGGCAGTTGTCAGGGAAAAAAAATTTTTTTACTATTTTTAAACCTTCGTTATACATCCATATTTAACATAGTTAATCACTGTCAATAGAAAAATATTGTACAGTTCTGCATCAAAAATGTACAAATGGGCTGTTGGTCATATATGCCCATTTTCAAAGTGACACCATAGCGAAACAGTCAGTCAATTTAGACTGGTAATTTTTTTTTTTTTGTAAACTCTACTGTCATTTATTTTACCATCATATATTTATTAATAAATAAATCATCATAAAATGTTTATTATAGAATAAATTGCAAAGTTAATGTTCAGACTTTTTTTTTAACTTCATGTTGAAATTTGTGTATGAGTGCCAGTGTGATGTCACAAATTTCAGTTGTGTTTTGTTGGCCTTGTTGGCTTGAAAAAGTTTCTTGAATCTTACTATATTGAGCTTGGAGCCCTTTGAAAAGTCAACGCATTCATTTATGCCAATTAATATCTGCATAGGCCCTAGTAGATGCCATGAATATATGCGACACCGCAGCAAGTTCATTCTGGAACTTCAAGGCGGCTTTGCCACTTGCATTTCTTTTTTGCATGTTTTCTCGCATACCAATCATCTTATTGTGGCAATAATAGGGCTTTTGTTATTGTAAAGAAATTATTTATCAATACAAAAACAACAGTTTTTCTCTAAAGTGCCCTTTTAATCTACTGAGCCTTCCACCTTAGGGGCCGTTGTGCTCAGTGGCTTAGCACAAGGTTACGGCTTCATAATATGGCTTTGATGGCCCCTTTTAACATGGGAATCTGTAGCATTTCACATTTACAACAGTTGGTAATCAGGCACTGGGGTAATTAAAGTTCTTGTCCCAACTAATGTGACCACAAAATGCGACTTGGCGAACACACTAAACAGTCGAAACTGTTTATGACGCAATACGTGCTTATATGGGATTCGCATGCATTCTTTCGCTGTTCAGTATTACAAGTGCGGAGGGAAGTTTGCTGCCGTGACGTTGGGATGCATTGGGACCTACAGTGTTTTCACATTTGCCATCACACATTGGAGGTATGTGTCTCACCCAAGCTACAAACTCTCTGAATAATAGCGGACCGACATCGGACTCTCTCTCCCTGCATGTCCACGATGTTTTCATGAATTATTCCCGACTCCAGTCTGTTGTTTACAATATTGTCTCTTGCGTATTTATCGAATGAGTGACAAAGCAGTAGTTACACTCCGAAACCTGATACCTGGAGAGCAGAAAAAATACTTTAATTACTTTTCATTCTTTCGGAACCATCTTGGAATGCTTGCCAAATGCAACACAGCTTCAGATGAGAGAAAGAGGCTACTGGCGTCACCAGTAGTTCCTTGCATTACAAGCATGAGCTTAAGAATTACCTACAGCTTCACATTTACACAAATGCGATTTGCTTATTTGGCATGGTTCCTGAGTGGAAAAACAGCAGTATAGTTGTGTAAATAAAGGCTAGTGAAAGTGGTGGGCGAACTTTGAGTGGTCAACACCGTGTGCTCCTATGTTGCAACTCGTATTAAGTGCAACTATACATATGCATATTGACCGTGTTGTAGAAAATACCATCGGCTCACTACAGCCATGCAGTATTAAGATGGTATTTTGTTGCATACTAGTGACTAGCTCAAAACTAAATACTTTGTGTGCCATCCCATTCGAACCCCTTAATAAGAGACAAATGGGTGTTAGAGACACCAGTGTGCCTGAATTGAAATAGGTGTTAAGAAAAGCCATACATGGTCTCCTGCTTATAAGAAACACCTCATATAGAAGACAAGAATTTCTCCCTGGTGCATGTCTCTTAAAAAGGGATTCAACTGTATATATTACGACATCATAGTTGTGAAGCAGTTGTGATTATCATCAGGCCGCCTTCTTGTTTTCACTCACCCTTATCACATAAAGCAGCCCCTCGAGCACTATGCAAATTGTTGTACGTGTTAAAAATTAAGGAGAATGGTGAGTAGGGCTGGCTCGTTTAACTTCTTATTCGAACCGATCTCAAAGTAGATTGGCACATAAATGAAACGTTCTTCTGTATACGTGTCTTAACATTTTATCTGTGTGCCTGTGCACATTGTTTTATCAGTGAACTTTTAATAATTTAGTTTGTGAATGGTCATTCCGAAGAGAAAAAACTGGGGAATCGGATGCAGTTGTTGCTTTTCAGTCTTTTATCAGTTCAACTTTTTCCCTGTTTTCTTCATGTCTGAATAAAGTGTTGCATATTATTTGATTCCTTTTCATCAGCTGACTGTTGTAGTCAAAATACTAGTTATACTTATTGTCTATTCTGAGACTGTAAAGCAAAACTGAGCTGATTTGTTATCTGTCTGTGACACTTGCGACAGGACAAAGTTTCGCATACAGATGAACAAAGCTGAGAACGAAGCAGGAGCGCAGTCGATCGATTCAGCTTATCAACTACGAGACAGTGAAGGTGAGATTCAGACTTCTTTCGATTTGTATCGTATTGAGCATAGCTGTTTCGATTTCTTTACCACTTTACGAAGGCAAGAACTGATCCCATCTAGATTTCTTCAATACCTGTTGCAGTAGTATATTTTTCAAGCTTGAGATCTTTCTTCACAACACTCCATCATCGGGCATTTCAATGTTGATGAAATAAAAACCAGCGGTCATGTACTTTTGATTAAAAGTGCTTGTTGGAAAAATTCAGGTCGCTCAGGATGATTCACAGCACTCCACAATAGTGCGTCTTGTATCATTAGTGTCAGTTTAACACAAAGTTTCTTCAAGCAAGTCAATCATATTTCATCACTATGTTCCGTGTTTTTCCTCACTATCCAAGGTTGCCTTGAGTTGCCTTAACTGGACGCACTTGTCTCAAGGAACTATGACGGGAATCATGATTGGCGGCCCTTGAGCATTTGATAGCTAATCCAATTCTCAAGCCAAAATCAGTTATTGACGTTGCTTAAACACCAATTGCTTTTCTGAATTATGTATGGAATGGGCTCACTATTGGCCTAGGTTGCTTCCTGAATCTACAGCAACAAAGATTTTTTCAATTTTTTATTCCTTGAGGTATGGATAGAGTTGCACGAGGTCATCACTTTCCCTCTTCTTTCGTCTTCACATGCGAGCTAAATTGTGCGCAGTTTCCCCGGTGAGAAGGAATGGCCCCGCCCACAAAGGCCATAGCGTCGAAATCTATGCCTCGCGTTTTTTTTTACATTGTTGACGAGCGTTTAGAATGCAGGCTTGCTGTCGCTGTAGTATGTACACTACACAGCAGAATGAAGCGATGTAGAATATCTGAGTGGCAAAACAGGGTTTCAGCGCTACCTCACACTCGCGTGCTCCAGTCTGGCATAGCTACCATATTTACTTGCATAATCCTTGCACTTTTTTGGGCGGGAAAGCGATGCAAAGTTATGAGGTGCGAGAATTACGCACGGAGAACTTCCACGAAAACGTACTGAGCAAAAAAAGAAAACGAAGTGGCTGCAAGTCGGGATTTTCACGCCAGAACAATGAAGGCACAGGTTCAACACAAGGCAACATTTACTTGAGACACAAAAGGCGCAATCGAAATAGTCGAGAATTAGAATACCATACGCAAAGCTTGTGGGCGTAGCAAAGGTGGCGTTCGTCGCTCAACAGGTTTCCTGCAAAAGGTAAGCAAAGGACGTCAGTATTGGGCTGATGGCCATTTTACAGAATCATCTGCAGTTACCTTCTGAAGAAATAAAGTTTACCATCAATCCCAGTCTTAGGCACACGCAAGGCCCAACACGTCTTGGTAGCTTTCAGCTGCCGTCACCAGTAGCGAACACAAAACTCATCTACTCCGAAGAGCCTGCCGGCAGCCCTGTTGCCAGTTGTTTAGTGCATGATCAATCACTTTCAACTTGAAAGCAGCCGTGTAACGTAACAAGACTACAGACACAACATACAAATCATGCCGCAACACGCACTTGCCACTTTGGCTTGGATTGGATTGAATTTCGGTGCAATAATAGTACGCTCTATGCTTAGTAGATGGTGTCAAACGGTGTGCACTATCATCATCAGTGGTTGGAACAAGCAGATGACGTTATTGCGGCAAAATTTGGGGGTGCGATAATGACTCAAGGAAAAAAAGAAATCGTATTTTTGTCGGGGGATGTCGGTGGTGCGAGAATGACGCGAGTAAATACGGTAGATGCCTACCCCTGCGGATGGCTGTGCCATGTGCCACTTCCCCTACGGCATCGTCTGTGTCCTGTTTTTTTTCTTTTTTTTTTTCTTGTGTGCTGTATTTTTGCGCCCTTCTCTTTATCATGAATCAACAATAACTCTCCCAACTTCTTACATAACTAAAATTAATATTGCAAATTTTGATGTTTTTAATGGCCTAAATATGAAGCAATACCTGCCAAGGCATATAGACGAGAGGTAATGCTCTGGCATGCGTACTTGTGTTTTCAGAGATCATGATAGTATACGTTATGTGCAAGGAGTAAACTTTGGCATGTGATGTTTGAAAGAGCACACATTTAGCAAACCATTTGCCACCTCACATAAGTGTAGGAGAAAATTAAACATTAAGCAGATGACTGTTGATTTGAGACTGGAAGAGAAAATGTGAAATCACTTTTCGGACTTTATTGCTTTTCAGTCACGCATACGTTTTATTTAACTTAAAAATATCAGTAATACCTAATACTTACTTAGAATGTTCTCGGCAATCAAGAAATCAGCCAATTGTTACGCTTGTTAGACCAGCTCGCTACGTAGCTGATGACATTACAAAACAGATAGCAAGCAATTTTTGGCTGATCTCAATGTAACATTGCAAGTTTCCTGCTGAATAGAATGTAGTAATGCTCAGCTCACTCACACAAATCTCCAGTTTTCTGCAATAGAAACGGAAAAGTGTTTCGGGCACCCTTCAAAAGTGGTTGAAATATGCCTGAAGCACTGCTGCCTTTGACCTCTACATTTGGTGCAATTGCATATTTTGATTACTTTTCATGGAACAAGTACTTCAACAATGAGAAGTACGAGGTGCAGAGCTACGACAAGTTGTTGGCACAGTACCAGGAGGCCTCTCTGAAGACAACCACCAGCTTGGCGCTTCTGAACTTTGGCCAGAATGCCATTTTCAGCGCATCATTGTCGGCCATCATGCTGTTGGCAAGTCAGAACATCATAAATGGTGGGTACTCCGTATGGTACCGAGTCACGTCGTAACTTATCAAATGATAAAACCTCTCGACTTTTCTTCAACGAAAGCTGTGCACACTACTTTTTGTAAAAGAACTTGAAGTACCATTCATCGGGTTGGGCGGAGGAAACCACATATCGCTAGGCAAGCTGTGAACTCTTCAGAAGTCTAAGACCAACTGATGCTGAAAAATTTGATTGACAGCTCTTGAGTGTTGCATCAAATTTGATGCATGCATCTCATGATTGATTCGTTTTATGCAAGAGCTCCAATAGAGTACAAAATGTTCCAGTTTGGATTGATTTTAATTGTGCCAGCCATACTGTCATCTGTTGACAATACGGTGCTACTACCTGAAGCATGGATGCATGTTTTTTCACCCTGTGTGTTTGCCAATATTGCTTTGTGAGCACCACATGTCCCATTGTCAAATCTGCAAGTCTTCATCAAATTTTCTTACAGGGAGCACAAAGTGACAAAAAAAATATTTCACATGTGAATAGATTGCATATTTATGAATAATAAAATAAAATTGAAAAATAAAACAAAATTAATAAATTATTGGCTCATAATAATAAAATGTTTCGCAAACTCAAAGGAACGTGCCCACAAAAAAAAAAAAGCATCATCACGGTGTCATCATCTGTGTAAGGTACTACCAACTGCCTGTGAACAGTTTGAATCACACCCTTGTTGGCAATAAATGGGACAAGTCTGAGTGGTTACCCTATGAAACATTTGAAACCAGGTGGACATCACTTTTCAAAAATGCAACAAATGGAAACTTTTTTTGACACACTACCGAATCTACTGCTGGGTGTCAGTGCATGCATGGATGTGCAAGAGGCAGCTAATGTGCCTCCTGAAATGAAAAACAACAACCTTAAGATGAAAACTGAGAGTCAACAACACAGGGCATTAATTTTTCTGAATCCATTTAGGGTGAAAACACGAAAACACTTGCTGGACGAAAAAAAAAAGTTTAAAAAGGTGCACCTGTTTCTAATATACAAAAGGTACTATACATGTACTCATACTCAATATTGACCATCAAAGGGTCATGGTATACCTTTTCCTGTACTTGTACATGTATATTTTAATGAGCCATTGTATTTGTACAAATTATCAATATTTAGCAATATAAAGAGCTAAATTGTACTTTGTTAGAGTAAGTATATTAAGTCTTAGACATACCAATAGTGGACTCCTCTTAAACGGAACTCGAAGGGGCAGGAAAATTTGTTCCATTTATGAGAAGTTTCATTTAAGCAAAGCCCACAAAGTGAATGAAATATGGCTTTATTTCAAAAGCACCAACTGTGGCTGACTGAACAGAGACATTTTAAAGTATGCAATACTACTATAATTGATTAGAAAGAAAATGTTGCTAATATTGCTGACTCCGGAAAAAGGAGGTGATAACCAATTTGTTTGGCCTTGTTCAAACACTTTCTCTCATAGTAAGAGTGCATTGCTGAAAGTCTGGGGCGGAACTGTGCCACAATCGTGTTCAAAGTAGCGCTGAAACAGGATGACAGCATCTCTTGCTGCACTGTCAGCCACTGAAATGGGCTTCGAATCACACACCATCTCATTACCACTTGAGCACAAGTCCTCATCTTGAGCTATAGGTTCCTCAAGGCTGTCTCCTCAAGTTCACGATGAGACGTCGATTGCTTCTCGGCGTGTGCGGACATGTGCGATCTCTGGATTGGCTTGGCTAGGCTAGCTTTGATGTAGGTTCCATGGTTACTAGACACTTCCACCGTTCATGGCTTTTGGCGGTTTTAGTTTCATTTAACCGATGAAAGCTATGAAAAATGTTACGATTAGCCTAAACTTTTTATCGTTAAATATATAGGAGACCAACCAATTATGCCTAGATAGTTTCGCTTATGCGGCTTTTTTGTTTAATCGAGTTTCGTTTAATGGGAGTCCACTGTAGAGAGTTTCAAAATAGGTGCTCTATATGTTTGAGGCTCCAAAACACTTTGTGTGTGCTTGCTTTAAGTCAAGCATGAGCTAAGGTGTTCCTAATTAGGTCGGCGGTGCTTTGGACACTCCGCCTATTCTAGCTCAAGAGCCATCTCTTCGGTGGGTGCTGGCATGTTTCTTTGACGCAAAGCTTTTTGGCAGGCTTTGGGGCTACCGATAAATTCTGGACATAGCATCTCCTGTGTAAAACTCAAACATTCTTTGGGGTCCCAAAATAATTGGGGCCCCTATTCAAAGACTCCCTCTTATCTGTTAAAGTGTGTGAGTTCATGAGGTGACTAGTGGGAGAATGCATACTCAGCCCTCCTGTCAATATCACTCCAGGTACTATGACTGTGGGTGACCTCGTGATGGTGAACGGACTGCTGTTTCAGTTGTCACTGCCACTGAACTTTCTTGGCTCAGTCTACCGAGAGGTGAAGCAGTCGTTAATTGACATGCAAACGATGTTCGTTCTCATGAAGCTGAAGTCACCAATTCAGGTAAAGTAGGCCCTCTTAGTAACATTTCTTTTGCTCTAACACGAAGCAGACCTATTATGCGAGCATTTACTCAAAGTTCTGCAGGGAGTACCAACGATATATACTGTAGACTCTCATTAAACCGAACCTACCAGAAAAATATGTTCCACTTAAAGAGAGTTGCATTAACTGAGAGGTGAAGAAGGGTGCGGAATACAAGCGGGAAACCAATCTTGTCAGATGCACTTGTTCCATTTAGGCAGTAGTACTGTTTAAGAGATTTTCGTTTACTTAGAGTCTACTGTATTCCATTCACTTCTCAAATGGTTTGGCGACACACAAGGTCAACTTACACAGATGTTTATAACTGTTACAGCGAAGGCTGCTTGAGTTATCAAATAGCTTGTAGAATGTATAATACAGTCTAATCCACATATAACAGCCCCATTTAAATGAACTTTCGCCTAAAACGAACAATACCCGCTTGACTGTGGAAATTTGCATAATTTCAATGGCACAAAATCGCGCTTACAACAGACGTCGTCTCTAAGCACTGCCAATCGGTTATAGCGAACATAGTCGACGCTCTGGGGAATTCCCGTGCAACCACTTCCGGCCATTAGTAAGCCATCGGTGAGGTGCCCATTCGATTCTTATTGCTAAACGCTGACTCTGCCTCCACAGTCTAGTTGTCACTCTCCCCAACCATTTTTTTTGTTACACACCCCTCCGTCCTTTGTCTGACCGCTACTTTGAGCACCCCGTATCGCCAGATGAGGTTTTTTTGGATGTGAGCGCAAAAAAAAAAACAGGGATGAAAGGAAGAAAGTACACACACACACTGGCGCACATTTTCTTCACTTTGTCCCTGTTTCGTTGTGCTCGCATCCAAGAAGCATGACAGACAAACAAGCTCATATCACTACTCTTGCCAGAGGAGGCCCGTAGTCTCCTTTCAGTTTTTTATCGCTGTTCTTGTTACACTATCATTGACGTCACCGACTATCTGCCAGCATCATCCGCCGCTGACTGTACTCGATAATCTGCACCTGTGTCTTGTCTGGATGGGTGTCGTATCGTTCCAGTGCACGCGCTTGTGCTACCCCACCGGTTTTGATCATTCACGATTCGTTCTGTGTTTAGGACCTGATTTTGCTCACTTCGCAATTCACTCAGCATGTCCTCCGCAAGTGTGCAGAAGTGTACACGGCTGCTACAGGAAACGAACCGCAAATTATCGAAGTTGGTGAGGCCGGGCAAGCCTTCTGGTGCCACAATGCGATTCTTTACCTCTGCGCTTGCAGCACTGTCCTAAGTGTTCCTACACGCGAGTTGCGCATTTTGTGGACCTTTCAAGCAAGCAATCCGACCTGCCTTCTTCCTGCATGTTCTGGTTTTCAAGATCGCCTTCCCGCCATATGCTCCTCTCTTTTCGCTCTATCGCAACTCCTTCACCTGCTTCTTGCAAGTCTGCTCTTCTCTCTTTATTGCAACTCTTTCAAACGCCGTCCATACTGGCTCAAATTAAGACGTTACTCTTTCTACGACAAATAGGCCCAGAGCAGTTGCACTGGTCTCGACTTGTATGTCGCTGTTGGTGTGCGTGTGTAGTCAGGATGATGGACGTGCAACCTTTCACGCCCTCTCCCCTGCCGCTGAATAGGTCGGAAGTGCGATCGCTTGGTTGGGCTTAATCCAAGAGTTTCACACACAAGCAAGCACAGGACCGAGTTGACTGGCGGAACATGGGAGAGGCCTTTGTCCTGCAGTGGACGTAGTCAGGCTGATGATGATGATGAGAATGATGACTCCACGAGTTTAAGGCTTGTTATATGTTCTGCGTTTTGGAGCACTTGCTCGTGGCTGTTCACCGCCTGGCAGCCAACTTGCCGCTCCGGGTGTCTTTGCATTCAGCTGTACAGATGGTGACGGCTTCGTGGCTAGAGGTGACGGCTACATATATGCGAAAATGTTCTCGAAAGGCCAACTTTGTCGATGTCAAAACCAATGCCGAGCCTGGAGCTTCTGAACTGCACCACTTCGGCAGCGATTTGTTGCAGCACATGTCAACTCCAAGGGAGAACGAGACATCATCTGGGATGATTTCATTACGGTCGATGATGATACGGACACTACGAAACCGTGCACGGATGAGGACATTGTGAATAAAGAGGTGATTTAAAGGAATCTGATCATGATGCAATGACGAAACTGTGTAGCAATTGGTGACATAAATAGCCTCAGGCAGCTTGTATATGCCAAAGGCCTCAGTGAAGAGCATGTGCTTGCTATCATCCTTATGGTTTCTGCTCTTCAAATCACATGCATTTTGGACTTTATTGCCAAAAATGTTTTGTGTTTTCACTTGCAACATTTTTGAAGCTGTGTTTCATTCACTATGAACTTAGGGATACAGTGAACAGATGCGGGGTCACGCTAAGGTTCGTGATAAACGGGCTCAACTGCAGGGCGTCTTGCATTAAAGGAAAGCTAGATCTTTTGCCTAATGTAAAAATTTGCTGTTATGTCAAGTAATAAAATGAAAATGTCTCCATAGTGTTGGTTTCTGAATTTAGATGACGGTCTCATGCTCAAATGGAGGTATGCTAGCTTTCCATTTAACAATAGCATTATAAGCAAGCTAATACAACAAAGAAAAATGTGACATAGACCTAAATAAATTAAAGCTGACTTCGAAACACCAGGGAAGAATTAACATTGCCAGCTCGTTTTATTTTGCTGCCTGCAGTCCAAGCCCGGAGCTCCTCTGCTGCTGGTGACTCCACCCACAGCCACGGTGGACTTCGAGAATGTCACTTTTGGCTATGTCAAGGGCCAGCCCATCTTGAAGGATCTTAACTTATCCATCCCAGCTGGCAAGAAGGTGGCACTAGTTGGTGGCAGCGGCACAGGGTAAGAAGGATATTATTAATGAGCAGGCAGTTCAATTTTCCAGTGCTTGGTTAGGTCGGTGCACCTACTACTTGGTCTGTCTGCTCACTAAGCTATATTGTTGTATACAAAAATTATTTGTTGAAGGGGTCATGATTTGCTTTTTGACGTCCCATGAACTGGCGCTCTTTGGCCATCAAATGGCCCTTGCGCTAAAAAACACCATATATCATCATTTGCTTTTTGAGCTTGGTGAGAAAACAGATCCTGCGCATAGCAGAAAATTTTATGAATAGCTAAACCAAAATTTTGCTGTCATTTACAGCTAAGAGAGTCTTAAAGCTGAGCGTGAAGTTGCCATTGTTTCAGGCACCCTCCCTCTCTTCATGGAGAGGCCTTCGGAGCCGCTGTAGCCTGCTGTTTCATGTCGAACAGCAGACAGCATGCCATTAGCCAATAGCTGCTGTAAATAAAAAGTGGTACTCAGATCAGCTGCACTTCCTGCTTTGGGGGGTCGCCGTAGTCTAATTTTGCACAGCGAGCCACACTCGTACGCAGTAATCACAGTGAGAGAGGGCGATTATGTTTCGTCATCAGCATGACTACGCCCACTGCCGGGCAAAGGCCTCACCTATGTTCTGCCAATCGGCCCAGTCCTGTGCTTTCTGCCACGGTGTACCTGCACACTTCTTAGTCTCATCAGCCCACGTTATTTTTGTCTCCTCCTCACATGTTTGCCTTCTCTCGGAATCCAGTCAGTTACTCTTGCGTCACGCTTTCAAGTATACTGAAGTCCCCTCATATAGTGTCGCTAAGGATCCAATTTGTGCATGTTGAGTGGTCGGACAGATACAAGAAGTCTATTCGTGTTAATGACCAGTAGTTATCCTGTCTAGCGCCTGACCCATGTGTCACCATGCATGCTCTAAGTCATGGTGTGCCCTTTCTCCATGCCATATTGCACTGACATGACTTCTCTTCCCCATGTGATTTCTGCCTGTGTAGTTTGGAGCATGATTATCAAGATGACGGAAGAGAAAAAGCAACTAAACCATGCGACAAACCATTGTAGTTCCGCTTGCGCTTGATAGACGGAAAAAAGTTTTGCGCCAATCGATTCATGAGGCAATCGACTCTGATGCTGCAGGCAATCGACCATTATTTGGAAAGGGGGTTCATGATTGTTCGAGTAAACCAAAACCTTTCGAGAGGAATAGAAAGCATCAACTGTAAGGGATGATGTTTTTCAACAGGCTGCCACTCAGCATTCCTGCATTCATTTTTGTTTGCACTAAATTTACGGTCTTAATGTGAGGATTAAAGCTTGTTTCGTTAACCAATGGTAGCTCAGTAGAGTCTGCAACATGGCATAGCTGCAGCACACCTTAACCCCACAGCACCCTCATATATTTGCTATGCCAACTTTAATGCTAGGCCTGCTGTTACAAAGCGAAACTGAAAGTGCAAAAGCTGGTTTGTGGCACTCAGGAACGTTGAAGAGTGTTTTCGAATCTTCGTGCTTCTAGTTCTTGCCACCAGAGCGTCGCTAACTCACTATCGAACATGACCGTGCCTCGAGCACCGATTGTGAGGGAATTTCAGCTCGAACGTTCTTTACTAGAAAATGTAACTATGGCGAATGTTGTCTGAAACCTTCCATGAACTGTTTAGCTTCATACATTATCTAATCTCTAGTTCTTCACTAGAAAATGTAACTATCACGAATGTTGTCTGAAAGCTTCCATGAACTGTTTAGCTTCATACATTATCTAATATCTAGGTATAGTTTTTGGGATGTGCGATAGCTTGGGACTCTACGATAGCGTGGTAATTTCGCTTGTAGCATATCTGATACAGCGGGCCTTACTTGAACGCACGCTCTAAGCCAGTGAAGCTACGTGTGTTCATTGCTGTGCTGTCAAAGTGCCTGCTGCTGTATGAAAAGACAAAAAAAAGGGACGCCCATTGAGCTTGCCATTACCTGCTCCCTAAAAAGAGAAGAGTTCCAATAAGGTTGTCCGATGTTGACATCAGGAAATCCTCTGGTGACGAATCAGCGCTTGCGCCACAGGAATTGTGTGGCAAGTGAGAATAAGCTCGGTTCCATTGTTTGTTCGAAATGGGGCATCACACTTTGCGTCAGCAAGGAAAGAAATTGTGTTTTTGATTACTACAGGTGCTGAAGCATGGCACTTGCGTGCCGCTAGGTATCTTTTCAGAATTTCAGAATAGCTCCTTGTATCATTTATGATACGAATTTCTTTTTTCATATTCTTTTATTTCATTTTCTTTCATATTCATTTCCTACTGCTGCAACTAGTTCTGAATATGTTCTGTTGTATCTCAGGAGCAAATAACGAGATATCAGATTTTTTTTTATGGCCATATCTCTAGGCGGGCTTTGCGGGGTTAAGAATTGTCATGCTGCTGCTGCATATTACATTCAAAATATGCAAAGAAAATGTACACTGATATCTGTAGGACTGAAAACAGTGTTTCGGGGGGGCTTTTAGCATCTAGAACGTTTCATACTACGAAAAAAAAAGGTGTAGCGGCACTTTGTCAGAAGTACAACCTAATTCATGCAGCAAGTATTGATTGGTAGTGTGAATAATAAAGGCAGCTGTAGGTAGAGGGCATTCGCTTGTTGCCAACACTTCTTGCAAGGCACAAAGGGTCAATTTGGATGTCAGCATGATGATTTGTGAGGTTTAACGTCACAAAAGGATCATATGGTTATGAGAGGCAGCTGTAGTGGATGGCTCCGAAATTTCGACCACCTGGGGTTCTTCAACGTGCCCTGAAATCTGAATACATGGCCTACACCATTTTCGCCTCCATTGAAAATGCAGCTGCCACAGCCAGGATTTGATTCCGCTACCTGTGGGTCAGCAGCCGAGTACCTTAGCCACTAGACCACTGTGGCGGGGCTTGCATGTCAGCAGACAGTCCAAATGTTCTTTCTTCAAACAATATAATGCCACAAATTGAAAGCTTAGGAGAGATACATGTGGAATGGATTAGAACTTAGGGCAATGAAACAAGTTCAGAGTGTGATAGTACCGACCATAGATGTCCACAGTAATGCAAAAAATCAATTGGTCTATTTTGTTTAAACAACTCCACTAGACTCGATAAGCTCCAACAATAATGTGCTGCAAGTTCACGTTTGAAGTCTGCACTTTACAAGATAACCGGGTCTCTAATAACTGTGCGGCCTGATTTTTCTATTGCACGGTATTTACTGTGAAGTGCTTTATTTGTTCTTTCAGTTAACTGCAGCAGGCTAGTGACGTTTCAATCTGTTCTTCATTCTCCTTCGCAGCAAGTCGACTGTGATCCGGCTATTGTACCGGTTCTTCGACCCATCTGACTGGACGCATCTTGATCAATGGCCAGGACATCAAGACAGTAGAACTCGACAGCTTAAGGAGAGCAATAGCAGTTGTCCCTCAAGTGAGCTGACTGTTGTGTACAGTTCTGTTGCTGTTTAATGCAGCGGTTGTATGTCATAGTCAGTTTTTATACCCATTTTCAGCCATGCAGAATGGCATTCCCAGGTCATTACTCATTCAAATCGCTATGCTTTACACTGCGTAACCTCACTTTTACATCTAGGAAAAGTGAGAAGAGAAAGTACTTCTTTGGAGCACGTGATCCTGTGGAGTAAAAATAGTATTCAGTAGCACCTCAAATAATTGATTCTGATCATACTATTTGTATTCAATTAGATTCAAAATGCACTTTTAGATTTGAAAGGTATGCAACAAAAATCATATTGATCAGTCATCGCTCTGCCCGATTGTGATAGGGTCCCTCAAGGATGTAACAACAATAAAAAGCCAGTTTCTATGTGTAACAATGTGGGATGATTGCACTTTGCTCGTGCTATGGCTGTGAGCACAAGAAGGGATTTACATTATTTACATTGGACAGTACAGCTATTATGATCTCTACTGTTGGACATTGGGCCGGTGTACAAGCATAAGGTGGAGGTAATGTGTTGCCATTTGCAGATGACATACAGATAATCAGTGCCAATGCATGAAACAACAACAAAAAATGCACAGTCAGTTGGCAAGGTGTTGCCTGTGTGGATTGTGAGAGGCAATGCCGACAGCGATTATGCTGACAACATTAAAGGTTAAGGTTAAGGATGTTGTAGGTAGCCGGCGGATCTAGCCTTGCATAATTTGCAGGCTAATTGCCCCACCCGGTTTCCTCTTTGCTAAATGAAGCTGTGCCCTTTGTTTGTTTTTTAACTAATCATGAGCAGGCTCTTAAAATAAACATCGTTCATAGCGCGACGTAAGCCTGCATAAGACAGCGGCCTTTGTGCTATTTCACGTGTAGTACTGTGCCAATACTCTATCTCGCTGAACTATACACCAAACATAATTGTCACTTACCGTATTTACTCGATTCTACCGCGCCCTCTATTGTAACGCGCACCACCGATTTCCAAGACGAAAAAAAAAAAAAACGTAAGACATCGATTGCAACGCGCACTCATTTTTCTCGCTGGCCCGCACGATCACACCACTCGAAAAAATGACTCCTTTCAGGAGCGTCTTCCATTTAAATATGAGGTACGGCGAAGCTTGTGCCCATCTGACGTGTAACAGAGCATTGCCGTCACTGTAGTTTTACCGTGGACCGATGTCAGCACGCGAACTTGCTTCGCCCCCTTCTTCTCGACAGTTGTGGTGCCAGGCATGTTGAAGTAAAAAGGCGTCTGATCGGCATTCCCGATTCGCCCAAGCAGGTAGCCGTTGTTGCGCCGCAAGTTTAGGACGAACCTCTGAAAACTGTGAAGCTTTTCATCGTATTCCTCCGCAAAACTTTTCGCATATGCCCGTTCCCCTTCGGAGGGAAAAGTCTTTCCTCTTCATAAAGTTAGTTAGCCAGCACCTGCTCGCTTTAAACTGGCTCCGCATTAGACCTTTTCTAAGGCTAATTGCATAGCCCGCACTTGGAGCAGTTCTGTCGTCACGGGCCGCCGTGCCGCTCAAGCACATACTCGCCGAGCAGCTCTTTAATTTGCGGAAACCGACCTTGCTGTGGTCTACTGAAGCCTTTGCGTGAAGCTTTGCTGTCGACAATCTTCTGCTTTTGTTTCCGCCAGTCCCGCACGCACGTTTCGGGAACTCCGAACGACCGCGATGCAGCCCGATTTACGTCCGTTTCGGCACACGCGATGACTTTTCTTTTAAAAGCGGCACCGTGGTGCACTCGTCGAGTTTTTGGAGTCGGCCCTTCCATGCCGTCGATGCTAATGCACACCAAGACAACAAATTCCTCAGCACACGTACGAAGTGCCGCACATAGGAAACACACACATAGGCAGAAATGGCCGACGCACGTAGGGGGCGGCCATTTCGAAAGACTGTATTCTTTTTTTTTTTTTTTCGTACTCGATTCTAACGCGCATGCGATTTATGAACTCGCTTAACCGGAAAAAAGGTGCGCGTCAGATTCGAGTAATTACGGTATCACCAGTCACATGCGAGGTCTGTAGCAATCAAAAATTTCAAGATGCTGACAACATTGTCACTCACGCCGTTTGTCGGATAAGACATGAGGCTACTTACAACATTTTCCTAGGCAGGCCGCTGGATAGAAGGGCCTGTGTCGTTCTATCCAACATGGTGTTCATGCAAAACAAAGACGAACGCCATGAAGAGCGCGATGTGTATGTTGTGAATTAGTCATGGTCGTTTCATTAACTTTCATATGAAGCTTTGTACAAGTAATTTGCTTCAACTTCCTTCCATACTACAGGTAATAGATACATATTACACATTCTTCTTCTCTATTACTGATTGCACCCTCATGATAGTCTAGTGGTTATGATGCTGGACTGCTTACCCAGAGGTTGCAGGATCGAATCCTGGTCACAGTAGCCACATTTCAATGGAGGTGAAATGCAGGGGCCTGTGTTCGTAACTTTCAAAGCCCTCCTTGAAACGTCTCTCATCATTATGTTATGGCTTTGGGACATATAACTCCAACATTTATTATTGTCGCTGGTTGCAGGACGCAGTGCTGTTCTACAACACCATCGAGTACAACTTGCACTATGGTGACTTCTCGCGCTCCCTCGACGATGTGCGGGAGGCAGCCAAGATGGCCGAGCTCCACGACTCCATCATGGCCTGGCCCAAGCAGTACGAAACTCAGGTCGGCGAGAGGGGGCTCAAGCTCTCTGGTGGGGAGAAGCAGCGTGTGGCCATTGCACGTGCCATCATCAAAACAGCCCCATTTTGGTGTTTGATGAGGCCACCTCCTCTCTAGACTCAATCACCGAGCATGTGAGTTGCACTCCTAGGTCACTTTTTTTTTCTATATTTAGTTTTTTCTTGGAAGCTCGAACATTGTTTGCACATGCAAAGATTGCTCTAACGACTTTTAATTCAAATGAGAGAGAAGCTTTCAATATCAACATCGAATTTTCCCATGTTGTACGCAGTCTTCTGAAATGGGAATAAAAGCTTATTTCATGTTCCATCCCAAATTAGAAGCGAGCTCCCATCACAAGGTCCCTTAATGTGAAAAAAAATGTGCTCCTGCCAGAACATTGGAACATCTCATTACATTCGATTTTGAAATTAAAGTATAGCGTTGCATAATCCTGAGGTTGAAATAAACTCAGCACTTTAAAACTCACATTAAACTACGTATATTATAGAAATGTCAACGTTGCCGGCAGTAGGTTACATGAAGATTAAAAGAACCTAAAAAGGCGCTCTTTGACCAACTTCTTTAATAGGCTTGCGGGAATTGTAATCTATCGGTTAAAAGTGAATAGTGCTTTGGTTTGAATAACTTCAAATCGAATACGAATACTATGTATCAAATATAGTAAAGAAACATTTGCATATTTTATGACATAACCTGCACAATATATTTTTCCATATACACTCAAACCTCATAATAACAAAGTTTCATCATGCACAAAAATAAGTTTGTTATATCCAAAAATTCGTTACAAAGGTATATATACACTATTTATGTTACAAGACTGTTTTCATTTACTTTATTATAACTGATATTTCGTTATTAAACAAGGAATATGCATATGTCATTCTTTTTAGTTCAAAGGAAGTGGAAGCAACTTTTAACAGTAGCAGAATTTCACTTTCAGTGAAATGCTTGTAATAGCCTGTAAAATGTGTTGTTTTAAAAATTGCTATGCTTACAACATGTTTTGTACTAATAGGAATCTTCTTAATGGATGTGATATTGGGTGGAACAAGCATAAAATGGCACCAGGTGTCAAAACAGGTGAATTCTGCAACAATTGGGCATTTCAAAGGCCCACCTATTACGAAGCTCTTGGACATTATCAATCAGCAGCAGCAGCAAAAGCATCAACAGAGCAAGCAGTTGTGTAGGTTGGGATGTTACCTATGAATGTGAAGGGGGCCCTCTGCTGATTTGCAAAAGGAAGAACCACGGCACAGTGTGCATTAAAGAACTGTGCTCACAGTAGGCATTTTAGGATAGTTTGAAACAGCAACATTTACGTGTACAGATGTTCATTTCCTTTTCGCACAGTTGAGACATGCACCGAGAAAAGAAGCGAGGCTACCAGTTCAGAGGGTTATGCACATGGGTCCTAATTACGCTACTGCGTCCTGCTCTCAAAACCGAAACTCAAACGTCTGCAAACTTCTTTTCATTTTTCCTGCCACCCTGCATCAAAAAGCACTAGCTAGCCATATGGCCACTCATTAAGGCACTGCTTGATAGCAGTACATGTCTTGAACTACTTTGCAATTACCTTTTAGTTCGATACATTTGGTAGCAGTTTGGCTTTCCACAAGTAATGTGCCTTCACATACAAGACGTAAACTCGGACCACACGAAATGATACGACTTCAATACGCCACACTCACAAATTTAGGCACCGTTCCTTCTATTATGGTCGTCATGCTTTTGCTACAACACTGGAAGTGCGCCAAAAGTATTGCAAGCATGCATTTAATCGTATCAATGTGCGAATTTTACACAAATCCTCCTGTCAGAAAATGCGAACAAGTTCGGCTTGCTCTTCAAAGGCAACATTCGTTTCATGTGATTAATATACTGTGATAATAATGTTTTGTTCTTTTTTTTTTCCTTGAAACCTGCCGAAACAGAAAATAATGATGGCACTCCAGCGGGCATCACAAGGCCGCACGTCTATCTGCATCGCCCATCGCCTCTCCACCGTGGTGGATGCAGACGAAATCCTGGTGCTCAGTGATGGCAGAGTGTGTGAACGGGGAAACCACCGCAGCCTCCTGGCAAAGCCGTCCAGCTTCTACGCCATGCTCTGGAATCAACAGCATCAGGCCCACCAGGAGAATGTGTGATGGAACAAACACAAAGTTAGTTTCATAAACTGAATGCCAAAAGAACCTTTGCTAAGTGTGCCTGAGAGAGAGAAAGTTGTTGTTAAGGGTACTGAAGAACAAGCCATCGCCAGGTGCTTTTTTTGTTATGTGCTGCTATATGGGTTCGAAAGAAAAGCATTTCAAGCATGTTTCAGGAGATCTTTAGCAGCTTGTGACATATGTTGAGCCTGTTGTGTAAATAGCTGTGTAAACTATAGTCAATTCTTATGATGATGATCAGCTGTCTCACGGTGAATTAGACAAAGGCTCTTGCTTTGCAGGGTATGGTCTTGTCTAACTGAAGAGGTTTTCATTCAATTCACACTTTGACATTATGTGTTGTATAAAGGCAGTATGTTGAAAGTTTTCCCTGCTATTATAAAAAATCTAATGTAAAACTCAGTCGCAAGAAAACTGTGACAGCTAATTGAGGCAAGAATGAGCTTTTTGAAGTTGTACTTGCAATAATTAGCTGCATGTGTTTGACGTACATTAAAGAAGTGCTATCGATAGTAGTATAATATGATCATGGGCGTGCGCAGGGTTCCCGTCTGGAGGGGGGGGAGGGCGGAGTTCATTGCAGCGCCCCTTCCCCAATTAAGTCAATGTATGGGGCACATTTTGCACCCCCCTTTGAGGGGATAGAAGGGTGCCCCGCCCCCTAGTCAGTGTATAAAGCAGATCTGCGCCCCTCTCTTAGGTGACTGGGGGGGGGGGGCGCCACCCTTTGTGCACATGCCTATAATTACAATATTTCATTATGAAGTTATTGATGGCTTAACAAAGGTTGTCGATAATCTTGATATTATCACTGTTGACAGTACGGTTGGTAGTCTTGCAATTTTTGCATGTGATGTCAGAAATTTTGCTATAATTGATTATCACAAGCTCCCAGAGCACTTCATGCATTGAGGAACAGGCGAACATCCCCAAGTTTATGCCGTAGTGTTAGCATGTAGTATGTTACATGGGATATGTTGCAGGATGTAAGTTAACAAAGCATGCTCTTGGCAAAGTTCTATAGAGTGCTGTACAGTATTATAAAAATTAAGAGTACCCTACGAGCAATAGTACTTTTGATAATTTTCTATCACTAGTGAGCAAAGCTGTAGTAATAGAATAAAAGTCACTAGTGAGCAAAGCTGTAGTAATAGAATAAAAAACCGGCATTTTATAATTAAAGTACTGCGTATTTGATGCAGCTGTACTTATGTAATCTTGGGTGCATTTGTATGCTCTATTTATTCATTTGAAGACAATAATTCCTCTTTGACTAGCTGTGTCAGAAAGTTTTTTCCGAGAGTAACAGGACTAAATCGGCACTTTTCAGTCCTTCTAGGTAGCTTACTTTTGGAGAGTTTGTCTCTTGTTTGCAGAACAAAGTAATGTACTTGAAAATTGGTCTTAAGATTTAACATTTCGATTATGTGACAGTAACCATTGTGACCATAGGGCTTTCTTCAAGAAGCGTGCACGCGTAGATCGATAATAATTACTACTGCGAATAGACTGCTTGTATGTTGTGCCTATGTTGTGCCTTCAAGATGATATTTAGCTTAGTAAGTAAAGGGAGAAAAACTGTTTTCTTGGGCGATATGGAAGAATGACTAAACAAGCCATCTTTTTACTTTCGGCAGTAATATACCCGTTGTTTGTATTCTGCACTAAAGTTACGCAAACTTGCACATGTATCTACATATCTGTGTTCGTGATGTGCTTAATGTACTTCACTGTTTCAGCAGGTAGTGTTATTGCTGTTATAATATTGCAAGACTGTGTTGCAAGATTGTACTACAAAATGCAAAATGAGGAAGTGGATTGCACTTTGTGAAGAATGAAATGTAGTTTTTAAAATGTTTTTGAAAGAGTTGGTGAAAGAGCGGAGAAGTGCTGTAGCCCGAGTTTTATATTCACATTTTGTTATTTTAGCTGAGTTCACGTTCGTAACAGTGGCCTTGCTATTCAGTAATACAGCACATTATTGATTAAAAGTCTGTTAGTATTCACATGATGTTATTTTAACAGCGGCATGCTGAGCTATTCTGGAAATAGCAGGCCTTTTAAATCTTTGTGCTTTCGACTTTTGGAATGAAAGCTGCTTCACCAAAAAAAAATTTTTCATTTTGTGTGCCAGTTTTGTTTCTGTGATAATCTTGTCAGCCGCAGAACTAGGTCTAAATATTTTTTTTTGATAGACTTGGGCAACTAATCCTTGTCACTACTTTGTTGTTTAGTTTTAAATTGAGTGAATGGGTGGAGGAGTTGTGTTCCTGCATAAATGTACACTCACTGAAATTCCGGAATGTGGTGTGACACTACGGCATGATGAAATTTCTTTGTGAAAAGTTCCAGCCATCCTTGTTTTTATGTTATTCTAATCAAAACATGTTTTTTGCATGACTATGCAAAGACGTGTATGGTCATCTTCTGTGTGTTTCCACTCTGAACGAAGTGTATCTTTGCAAGCTGCTCGACAATGGGTTCAGCTATTCTTGTTCTTATGCTGCTGTATTAGGAATGTATTTTTCAAAGATAACGCATGAGCCTGCTGAGAAGCATACACTATGTAATGTAAAAATGTTAAAATATGTACATACATAGGAACTGAATTTTGCTTCTAACATGCACGATGCCAGGCATGCTGATACTGTGCTGTCATGACAATCTGTAATTTTCAAGTTGTTAGTCCTTGTGCACTAGATTTTATGTGAAGACAAGAAAATGTAGGGTACTAGCCCTGTTAGCTACTTCAGGAGCTTAAAGGGACACTAAAGGCAACCATTAAGTTGACGTTAAATGTTGAAATAATAGTGGACCAGAGACTTCGAAGTGTTACTTTTGTTCCGAGAAAAGGCTTATTTTGAAATGAAATCGCGGTTTAGTGGTGCGCATTAGCGCACTTCAAATTACCTGTCACAACAGAACGTCTGACGTCATTGTTGCCGTGCACAACGTTGCCCGGATTTACTACGCGGCCGCCGGCACTAGTAGCAGCAGAACTAAAACAGCGGGAGGCACAGCAGCAACAACGGTCATCGATGCATTTTTTCGCCATTGGCTCCGAGATGGCAAACATGTTTTGGTTCAATTGGGCTCCGCTAGACGGCATGACCTGTCCAGTTTGGCCATTCAAAAATCGAATTTTTCAACCATTTGCGCCATTCTCCATAGTAACGGCCGGCAGTTCATTTTTCTATGAATTAATCAGAAACAAACAAGCAGCACTTTATTAAGTCTCTTGATTCACGGAAGGTTCTTCAATTAGTGCAGCTAGACTGATTACTAGTGATTAATAGTAGGCAGTTTGTCCGACGTCATCTAGATCATTTTGAGATTTCCTACTGCAGGGCATGTATTCTTGTGCATTTACCTTAATTTTTCGGTAAGTAGGGCACTGCTGTTGATAATATTGTCGTTTTAGACATTGTCATACATTGAGCTTTCACTCTGACGTAAATTGTGATTTGACTTTAGTGTCCCTTTAGCGAAATTTATGTTTGCATGTCATAAAATTGTGCAACCTATTTGTGCTATAGATTATGAAAATAAATGTGGCATCTACGTCTAGCTGTAAAACTTGCTTTACTTTTCTCTTGAATATTCGCACTGCTTTGCAGTCTTGTACACTTAAGCAAGTGGTACAATGTTGTGCAATCGCTGTGTTGTAGATTTCACTTGAGTGAAACTTTCATCGAAAGGAATTGTTTTTGATAGGGTCTTTTGAAAAACTGTTGGCTCTAGCAACATTTACTGTTCAATTACGTTAAGGTATGTCAATTCTTTCGCTGAAGTCGCTTCATCTGCAACATTCTGTGGCGATTTTCAATACTAGGCTTCCAATAATAATGTTTAAATGTTCACATTTCTCTGTAATATAAGTAACTAAGTAATATTTAAAGATGGGAGGAGGGCTGAATGGGTCAAAGAAGGAACATTGGTAGTAGATATCTTGGTTGACTCAAGCGAGAGTATGGACGTGGGCTAATGCATAGGATAAACAACCTGTGGACAGTAAAAGCAACAAAATGGCCACCAAGCAATGAGAGCTGTTTTCGAGGAAAGAAAAGAGTTAGGTGGAGTAGCAAAATTAAGTTCGCAGGGATAAAGCGGAATCGGCCCGCTCAGGATAGGGCAAACTATCACCGACAGAGGCCTTTGTCCCAAAGTGAACTGAAACAGGCTGAGCATGGTCAATTGTGATGGTTTCTTTCCTTGTTTTGGGATATTAAACCCCAAAAATTACTATTGTCATCATTTCTTTCTGCAACTATTGGAAAGTGAAAAGCTTTGCAACTATGCCACGCACTGTGCCATTCTAAGATGTCCTCACAAGGCCGGCAGGAGGGAGGGGTGTTCCACCCTATTAATCTAATAAGGGCACCAAGTTTGTCCCATATATTTCTCAGTCAGGCTTGACCTGTCATTGTCTAAAGTATGGGGTATAGGGCAGAGGTTTTTGACGACAATGGCGACCGAGGACCCCTGTTCTTGCATTCAGAGAACTGTTTCTATATGCTTTAAACCTTTTAGAGTAAGAGTACTTCATTTACAGCAAGCACATTACAGAGCTCGCTTTACCACACAAATGCCAGGGACAAGGCAGGCAAGGCAGGCCATTGTAACAAACACGTCATCGCTTATTTTTTTTTTTTTGCATCCGTTGCCAAGCTTGTTTTATTGATTGATTGATTGATGTGTGGGGTTTAATGTCCCAAAACCACCATATGATTATGAGAGACATTGTAGTAGATGACTCCGGAAGTTGCGACCGGAGTCCTTCACTTGTTTTATTTCGAACTCATCTGGGGGAAGGGTAAGGGACCTACTGTAGAACTTAGCTCCCAAGAGTGAAGAACATTGCGCGCGCCTATGATCAGTATCTGATCATAGGCGTAAAGACAGGTAAAGACCACGGGAGTGATCTTACCTGTCTATGGCAGGTAAAGACCACGGGAGTGTATAGTGTGCCATGTCCTGGATATGCCTCTGGTTACAAACAAAAAGTAAGACATACATAAATATGACTCCTATCCTACTGAAAGTCTTCCACGCTTGATGTCTAGGAAATGGCCGCCGTGAAAAGGTTGGCAGCATTTGGGTTGTTCCCCTTATTAATTCATGCACTTTGGCTTTCGTTAGTGAGGCAAGTCATTTGCTTTTTGAAGGCCATGAGCCCCCCACAAAGAGATATGCAATGACTCGATGCCAAACAATTAGTCGCCAACAATTCGCACACAGCAGTGTTGGTTAGGCCTAACAATTAAGTCATGTCAAATAGGCGGCGGACAGCACGTCATCACGATAACTTCGCTGCTGTGCTAATATGCCTACGCGAGTGGTTCAGTGGTAATCCAAACGACAGTACGCGCGTACCTGACAAACCAGTCGCATTGCTGTGTTTGGGTGGTGGGGAGGGGCAGGGGCGGCGCCTGGATTTTTTCACGGAGGGGGGGGGGGGGGCACCCGAAAAAAGTGAGTTTGCCCAGGGGGGCAGGAACTCGGGTAAATCGTACATTATCATTTGACTATGTTGGATTTGGGGGGCATGAGGGGGCAGGCGAAAATTTGGCGTGGGGAGGGGGGCTCCAGCTCACCCGTACCCTCCATGTGCCACCCTTGGGATGCGTTCACCCTATACGCCCGAAATATTTAGTACTGAATGCTGTATACAGCACATAGGGTTATACACGCGCAGGCAAGCATCAACATAATTTTTATTTATGCTAGCAGTAATCTGCGCCGACGACTATCACAAAACGTTAATATGAACGGGTATGTGCCACAGGAATCGGGCATATTACGCTGTAACTGGACCACATAAAAAAGTCACAACTTTGCCGCGGGTGTGAAGCAATGAACGCGATAGCAACAAATTGGAAAGTCACAGATCGAAACGTGCCCCACATTTCTTACACACAAATGACGCACGAAACGTGCTCACAGGTACTGATGAACGTGAATAAGCGCTTCTTCGCTGTGTCTGGAAAGCGGAAAACGTAGACTACAACGAGTGCAGTGACCTCTGTGCGCCCGATAACTACTACAGAATCGTTCCGGTGAAAGCCCAAGGTGTACGATTGTCTCCAGAACTAGATAAGCATGCGCACGCGTGAACGTCCACGCCCCCCCCCTCCCCCTTTTTATCGGGCGCGAAGTACGCGTGGGAGACGAGAGCGCGCGTCGTGACGATCTGGTGATGCGTGCTCATTGCGCCATCTTGCTGGTAATGCTGAAAGCACGATAGTTTCAACGTTGAAGGAGGTGGTGCTTCGTGGCTGAGTGGCTAACGCCTCGCACTCACAATCAAGTAGTCAGACGTTCGATTCCGCGCGCCGGAGCCCTTATCTAGATTATTTTTCCGACTTGAGTTTTCATATATACACATACGTATATATACGGTGAATGACGGCAACGCCAGCGGCAAAATCCAGCCGAGAGTGTCATATAATTGCTACCGGAATAAAACGAAGGCAGCAGTTGGCCAAACAGATCGCGGCGTAGCGACGAGCCGGCCGCCCTGTGTATGTAAAATGAGAGAATACCGTAGGGAACGGGAAAGGCAACGGCGTCTGCGAGAAGACAAGCGATAAAAGGCCTACGCCAACAAGAACGTGCCCATATCGTGACTGTGGTTTATCTCGAACCACTCAGCACCGCTCTGCACAAGCAACGTAGCATCACCTAGCATATAGCAATGACCTATAGAAGTCACCTACAAACAACCCGCATCATATATAGCCAAGTCCTAGAAGCAAGTCCTAGAAACCCCGTGTAATTCTGACCAATTTGTACGAGCTAGAACTTCGAAAAGTACACTCGTATTCTCTATGGCCGCTCGCACTGGTGAGCCCTCTTAATGGCACTTTATGACTTAAACTGCACAACATATATGCGGGTTTCAGAACACACCGTTTGTTTTGCTTTAATTCGTTCTGCCGTGCCGCGTTAAGTAAACAGCTCACATACGACAATCAATACAACACTGGAGGCGATCAATCGCCCCTCGGCGCATATACATCCGTTCTGTCTTGCCGAGGAGTTCGTGGTCTTCGCACCATCACCATAGAACAGTGCGTCTGGTTAATCAATCACTCGACGATCTCGACGGGCAAGACGACGCAGGCCACGGTACCGCCGTTCGAATCGCCCAGCGACCACCTCAGGTTGGCGCTCATCTTCGGGTAGGAAGGCTTCACCTCGAACCGCTGTACGTACGCGTACTTCTCGCCGTTCTTCACGGGGCACTCGATGCCGCTGTCCTTGCAGCCGTCCTCATTGGGCATCTTGAGCGGGACCGGCATTCCCATCACGAATCCGTGCGCGCGGACCTTCATTTGGTCGCTGTCCACGGACGACCAGAACTGGACGTTGAGAGTGACGTTGGTGCCCTTCTGCAGGATGTAGCGGTCCTTGTTGCACGGTGTGTCCACCGACAGGTCCAGCACTTGACCGTTGTTGGCCGAGCAGGATTTCCACACGGCCCAGCACTGGCCCGCCAGCGTCATGGTCAGGAGGACCAGGAATGTTGCGCGGTACGCGGATGGCACGCACTGCGTCATTGTAGCTTCTGATCTATAAGTACGTGTGCTCCTTCTAGTAGGCGACGCTGTACGTGCGTAAGGCGTACGTTACTGTGTCGTCTCCGCGCGATGCTTCACGCTATCGACGTCCAGTTTGGCGAGCTTGACGTCAACTCCTGCAGCTATAGCCCGTTCGTCACAAATTGCGTCAGCTGTGTCAGTCTAGATAACCACGATCGCGTGGTTCGACGACCACCTCTGCTGCTTTTTTTTTTCTGTTGGTTTCTGTTTTGCGGTCGTTCCTTGTGGGTCAGCAAGAGCGCATGCAGGCAGGTGAGGTGCTTTTTTCCGCTGTCGTACGTTTGTTTTGAACTCGCGCTACTGCCGGCCGATGTCGTTCTTGTTATTGTATACACATTTTTCTTGCCGCCAAAGGAGATAAGAAGTTCAGCCTGGGTGGGGAGTTTCGGGGTCGTTCGCTGCGGTGCACTCCTCGGCTGTCGGTACAGGTCCGCAAAGCAGGCGATACGATTGTCAAGGCGTATGGGTGCAAAACACTCACCACTTGCAACGCCGCTTCTTCGAGGTTGCTTCAGTGGACGCTTTTGCAACACTTCCCTTTCTACGTTGACCAACCGTTTACGAGAACAGTCGGCAGCACTTGGTGTTCCTTCACTGGAAGAAAATACGTCTCTGCATCGTAGCAATCTGCATAAACCCTCTGCTGCTACCAGCAGTCTCCTAATGAGATAAGCCAGCATCCACTGGGAGTCTCATTAGGCAGTGCATGAGATAATGTTATGTCTGAAGCTGGGCCGACTCGTGGGGTGAAGGCTCGTCGTAGAGATAACCCATTCTCGTGCGGCGGAAACGAGTGCTTATATTCAACTTACGCGAGCTGTCATCGTGCCCCTGTGGACGTCGTGTATAGGGTTACGGCCATCGGATGCGTGAACAGAAATACTCGTACAAAAAAAAAAAAGACATGGCTCCCACACTTCAAGGTCAGTTTTCTTAGAAAAAGACTTGGGGTGGTCGTATTCAGTGTTAAAAATATGTTCGCATAAACCCGTGTATCCGCGGCTTGTTTTTCCAAGATACGCAGTACGTCTTCACCAGAAAGTTTCACAGCCTATTCTCAAGAAAGAAGATCGCTGTGTGGCGCGTCTCGTTCCGTTGTATGTATAGGGCCTCGCTGTGCTTGGTAGCCGAGAGAGTGGGAACAACATTCAGTTTTACTCCACTTTATTGGTTTTAGAACCCCACGAGGGGGTTGTTACATAAGGGGTGGATATACGAAATGACAACAAAAAAGAAAGAACGCTATGACGACTGAGATTTAAGTGTCCGACTACTTTTGAGGCGCACAAGAGGGTAAAATTAGGGAATCACCATTCTGCGTGATGAGTAGGTACATAAACATTGCATCATGCTATTGTCTGTTCACCCTTCCCTGTAGAGGCCACGTACATTGTTGGTTATGTATTAAAGGAGCACTAAAGAGCAAAACAATTTCTCATATTAGTAAATTACTCTCTCACAATGCAGAAATCACCAGGCTTGCGGCGAGGTGACTTTGGCTAGATAAAAAAACGCGCAAGAAGAAAATGTGTGTGGCGAAGCCACTTTGATATTCTCACGCCAAACGTCCTAGCTGTAAATGCGGACAAGCCCCTGGAAGACACCAGCGCAGTGCACGAGCTGCTCCATGTGCTCAGAGGCGCACTTTATCGATAGAAAAGAAGTGCGAGAGACCTCGTGGGAGACCCATTCTCCACAGCGATGCTGTGCCGCGATTCTTCCCAATCTGCCAGCCTATACTTTAGTAAAAATTCAACGAATGGAAAGGACCGTTCTTGAGAGGAAGAGAACGGGAACTTCTGACGAACAATCGTAAGCGTGCGCAGGTTTCACCATGATTGTAAGAAATATAGTGAGCCCCCCCCCCCCCCCCCCAAAAAAAAACTACTATCTTTAGTGCATCAACCAAAACGGAGCAAAAATAATTAAGCTACAACATTTCATTCTAGCATAACGAAGGCATGAACCCAGCATGCATACCTGCATGTTTAAGCTTGGCAAAGAAGCGGGCGTGCTCAATTTTTTAATTCCGAGCTGGAAGGCGAAATTTACGCATTCTATATTGATACAAATGGTTTGGTCTACACGGCATGAAACCGCATGTTTTAGAGGATATTACATCCTTCTTTTTTGCGAGGTACCGTATAGAGCAAATGCGATGTGGTCTAAAAAGATATAGTAAATATGAAATGACCTCAAGCACATCAAAATTATTGACTGCGTCGCAAAAAAAAAAAAGGCATGGGTTGCGTTGGCTGTCATCAGGCTGACTTTCAGCAAATTTTGTCGCAAAATAAAATGAAAAGAAGACAAACCGAAAGCAACACACGCTCTCAATATAGTCAGAAAGCAGTTAATAGAAGCGAGATTATTTTAAATATCAAATAATCGCGTATAGCAACACGCGTGCGTCCAGCGAAAAGCAACTTCTGCAAATGAAGCTTCTATTGAAGTTGCCTGTGGCGCCACCTGTTCTACGCAACGCCAGCTACGTCGGAGGAGCGGCCGAGTAAGCCCACTATTCTCATCTAGTACACTTTAACCATAGGCTTTAGCGAGCATGGAAATGATGGGTACAGTACATGTATTTGCCTATCCTTCGTACTTTTTTTGCGGGCGTCAAACGCAGCTGTAGCTTCGTTTATTGCAGTGTTTCGATTTTCTTTCAAACAAAAGAACGGACTGTTTTGAACTTCATGACCAGACTCTAATCGGTTAGCCTAAAAGATTAAGGATGATAAGGTACAGCTATCTGTCTGGACCACACGCGGCATATACCCAGCGCAGATCTTTTGAAGTGTCATGTGGAGTGTTGCTCCTCACGCTACGCGGTGGGATTGGCGGTATTCTGGGTGTACGTTCCTGGGGAGAGGTTTGAAAACAATTGTGGCGTGCACGTAGCGATGAAGCGAGACTCATTCTGGCTTTCGCTGCGACAATGATACCGTCAGAAATACCCGGTTCTTGGCCTATCCCCCAGCGTGGGCGTATGCCACAGCTTCCAGGCACTTCCTTCCTCCCTTCCTTCCTGCGCGTTCCACATAGGCTGTCACAGAACGAGCGCTAAAAAAGAGCGCGCCGCCAAATCCTTGCGACAACGGGCGGCAGAAACGCCACGAGGTAAAAAGAAAAAAAAAGAGAAAGCAAACATCCAAGGCTCCCGGGCGCGCGCTCTCCCCGCAGAAGCATGGCTTCGCAGACGAACCTCCTCACCCCACATCGGCGGCCCAGCAAGGCCGCGATTTTTCTAGAACGAAGGAGGCGTGGTCAGACCGAGTGAATCATCCTCCGGGGAGGGCAGTCGAACCGTCTCGTGCCTCTCCCCAGCCTTCGCTGCGCGTCGCGCCGACGAAATGAGGAGAACGTTCTGGAAGGTGGCGCGGAACGTATTTAATCGAACAGCCGAGACGAGAAAGCAGGAGAAGACGGAAAGTTAGCGCCGGAGCGCGTAGGGATTCCGCCGTGTAGTCGGCGAAGGTTCTGCCCGTAGTGACAGAACAGGAGGAGACGGAAGTGAGCGCCAGAGTGCGTAGAGATTCCGCCGTGTAGTCGGCGAAGTTTTTGGTCCGTAGGGACGGCTCGAGCTACAGGCAAGAGCGTGGGTTTACCGCTATCGAGCGAAGACGCGGGCAACAGCTGCGTGTGTGAAGCCGACGGATTTCCGGCGAAGAAGTTGAAGTTTAAAGAGTGGCCAATTGAAGACGGGAGGTTTCCTGGAAGAGAAACTTCTAGAGCTGCGGAACGACAACAACGCTGGACTTTGAGTGAGTGATTCTCGGAAGAGTATCATCTCGACTTTGGTTCCAAGAACTTTGGACTGAATAGGTTTTCTATCTCTTTAGTCTTTAAGTGTCTTGGTTGTTCAATGCATGCGACTGCATTGTAGTGCGTATTGTTGTCCGTGTCCGTTTTTTCAAGTGTGGCTGATTGTATTGTGTAGTACGTTGATTGATTGGTTTGATTGGTGACATATTGTATGCAACTATTGTGGAGTGTGCATTTTTGTGTATTGTTTCTGATCTGCCATTATTGAGAATATAATTTTGTTTGTTTATCAACTCTCGGCTCCGACTTGTTCTTTGGGCCACAGCCGGCGTCTGCTGGCGCGCCAATAAGGACCACTCCTAAATTGTCCACGCTTTCGTGGTGCGGTTCGGAGGGCCGATACTTCGGCTCTTAGAATTAGCCCGGCGATCGCCTCCCTAATTATCGGGACAGGTGTGACATAGGCCTGGCGGTTTTTTCTAAGATCTTTTTCTTCTAACCTAATTATTCATCGCTCAATTTCGGGGGAGTTTAAGCAATGAACTATAAAATTGCTGCCTTCAACAACTAAACATTTATTCCTCGAACTTGATTGCTCCAGGAGGTGGACAATACTTGCGCTGTGAATGGAGATATCGAAGTGTACAGAACCTGCTGCGATTTATGAGCTGTAGCTGGCGACTTGGAAAGTCTTTGTAATCACTTTCGTTATGACGTAGGTAATCAGATTTCGGCAAGCTCATTTAACATGGGCGTTTTTTTTTCTTGCGTTTTAGTAAATAGAGTTTGGCTGACTACAATCATTGAGCAAGGGTGGACTCTGCGAAAAACGTATCCCAGGTACCCCAGTAATAAATGCGAAGCACGAATTTTTACATGAAAGTATGTAGTAGTTTTCTGTTCATTGCATTTTATTGGTCCATGTGTTTAAAAAGCCATTACTCCGTTCCAGCCAAGGCTACTGGAAGAGCAAGCCGACGCTTTAGTTGACCGGGCAACGGTACTCCGCACCTGCCCACCACATCGGGACTTCCGGTGCCGTATAGTGCTAATGAGCGTGGCTTTGCGCATGTGCAAGTAGGTGCAAACGGGAGTAATGTCATCTTCCCTCGGTATCTTAGCGAAGCAACTGCCGTGGGTCAAAGCAGAAGGTAGACAATGAGCGAGTCGAAGCTGACGAGGTGCGGCGGTCTGTCGTGTGAAAGACACCCTGCTTGCGGACAAGGCTTATATTTCGGCAACCGAGATCAGCACGTGCAGTGCGCTTATTTCTGCGCACTCGTTTAGCCAATGTCGTCCGAGTGCAGACTGAGTCTGGACGGTCTCCGGCAGGTCTGGTTCTTCTTGTACTCCTGGCACGGCTGCTGTCCAGGGCTAAGCGACTGGGCGCCCTGTTGGCCGGTGCTGCCGCCACCACCACTGCCGTGTATGACCGTGATGGGCACGATCCTCTCGTTCTCAATGAGCGGCGGGTCCTTCATGGGCACGTCGACCGTCAGGAAGCCGTCCTCGGTGAGCGAGCACGAGACGCGGTCCGCGTCGGCGCCATCCGGCAGCAAGTAGCGGCGCGTGAACTCCTTGACGATGATGCCCTTGCGGCCGCGGTCCTCGGTGCGCACCGCCTGAATGACGGCGTGCTTGCCGCACGTCTTCACGGTCAGGTCTTCGGGGTTGAACTGCCGCACGTCAAGCACCACCTTGAACTGCGCGAAGGTTTAGAAAGGCGTCGCGTGTCAACGTCCCACCCGACACAGTGTGGGCATCGTCGACACTAAATGTATACACGCGCGACACGCCACATATGCGTTACATGGGATCACAGTTCGCACGAAGGCATTACGTCCATAACCATTTGCGGGCGTCCAAGTGCGCGCCGTTTGGTTGTACAGGCATCACGCCGAAACTGGCCAGGAGCAGATGCGTCATTAAATAATTTCATCAGCCCCTTCATATCTAGGTTATGGTCGACGAGGTGGACGCTACATAGCATTCGCTTAGTGAATAAGTATACTTCAGTCATGTTACAATACTTTTGGTCCATATAGTTGGTTCGTTCCTAGAAATCACGTTATAGCGCTGGAAGAGGGCATTGTGTGGTTCTTTCCCATAAATGACGCTATAGCAGTGGAAAAATGCAATGTGGAAGACGATGAGACGTCTTGTCGCCTTTTATGCACAATCTTTCTGCTGCGTTATGGCCCCATTGATAACGCTACAGCGGATTCAAATAATGACCCGTCGAAGAAATAATGTTAATCTACGAAAAAAACGTTTCGACTGCTCTACAGATGCTACAAACTGTCGGTATGTTTGATTTATCTCAGCGTGATAAGTGCGGGCCAAATCAGGATGTGCGTGCAGTGATGTATACTTCAGAAGAAAAAATAATACCTAAAAAAACGAACAGTCTCCAACGATATACTCGGCTCTTAACTCATTTACTACTGTATCACGACGTGCTTGTGTGCTGCTGTTTGACCAACAACGTAAGCAGCTGAACAGCGCATGTGTCCAGTTCTTTATCACTTGCCCTCCCTTCAGCTATCTAGCTCTAGTGCCACGGGTACAGTAATCTTTGCGATAGACCTGGGCGCGCGAACGCCGACGGCTGAGTGCTATACCAGAATAAAACCCATCATTGGTGCCACCTCGAAATTTCGTGTTATTCATGTGCCTCCTGTACTACACGTCTGCTTTTTGACACGCTGGCCATTTCATGGGGCGTATTCGTCCAAGCACTCACCTGTGTGGAAGACGGGTGAGACTGGCATAGCTTGTCTCCCGCTGGCGAAGTCGGCGGCGAGGCCGAGACGCAGTGGTAGTCGTCCAAACCGAACCTGTGGTTGCTGCCGTAGCGTCCCCGTGTGGCGCTCTTGTTCCGGTGTCGACTGGCATTGCGACAGCGCGGGTACTGATGGTGCGGCTCGAGGTCGTCAAAGCTGCGCGCCATGCCGGTCGGCCGCTTGAGGTTATCCCGCGAGCCATCGCGACAGCACTGGCCGCACCGGCACCGGTAACGCTGTGTCAATCAGTCAGTTTACAATATAAATGATGCATCGGCGTTAATAGAACGTGTCATGTTTGTAGAAACCTGCAGTCAAGGCCCCTTCTATAGTCACGACAGCTGGCAGCAAACAACAACCTATTTATTTATTTATTTATTTATATATTTATTTATTTATTTATTTATTTATTGTACCCTCAGGGCATACAGCATTATAGAGGGGAGTGGGTTTAGAAGACAAAAAGTACAATTGAAACTTGAAAAACAAATCACATTCAGTACATGCATACAACACTCGAGAACAAACGTGTAAATGACAACGCTTACACAATATCTAAAAACACAGGAAGCACCGCGACAAATCAAACAAGGAATAAAAAAAAATCAAACAAGGAAGCACCGCGACAAAAAAATACCGTAATGACGATCTAACAAAAAAAAATGCGTTGAGCACATCAATGCATAAAATTTTCGAGTGCCGCCCGAAAGCGTTCATGATTAGTAATCGTGACTAGTGACGCAGGCAGCTTGTTCCAATCATGGCATGTTTTTGGTAAAAAAGAATGGGAGTATGTTACGGTGTTTTGGCGCGGAATATGAACCTTGTAATGATGGTCGAGGCGTTCAGATAGGAAAAAAGGAGGGTTTAGCCAACGTGATTTAAGTATGGGATTATGGTGATACGCTTTATGCAGCACACAAAGGCGAGCAAGTTTCCGGCGAGTTGCAAGAGAAGCAAGGTCAAGGCTGGATTTCATGTTAGTAACACTGGAAGTACGGTGATAGTTAGAAAGTATGAACCTCGCAGAGCAGTTTTGCACAGTTTCAATTTTATTAGACAGTGTTACATAGCCAGGGTCCCAAACTGAGAAAGCATATTCAAGCCTAGGGCGCACGTAGGTTGTATATAGCTGCTTTTTAAGGAAGACGGGGACAGCGAGAAATTTCTTTTCAAGTAGCCTAGCATGCGGTTTGCATTAGATGTTACATATTCAATTTGGCGCGCCCAGGATAGGTTATTGGTTATGTGCACACCGAGATATTTGTAAGATTCAACTGACTCTAGTAAGGTATCTTTAAGAAAGTAATCAGGGCTAGGCAGTTTAGCCATCTTCAGCTGATATTAGCGGTAGGAGGAAGAGTAATGGCAATAGATCTAAAAACAAGATGAGTCAGTACATAACCTGATCTTCTGGCCCAATCAGTCAATCATTCAATAATATAGAATGATATTGTTTACTGATTGTTTATACCAAGTAAAAATTATGGTAGCTGCTGGAAACTACACGAAATCTGCAACAAAAAATTTTCGCAGCTGTCCGAACCAAATTATAGTTTGAGATGTGCGCACCTGGTGGTCAAGCTTATTGCAATGGTTTTCTTTAGAGATGTATTTTCTCGCCTTTAATACAGCTAACAACTCACTGCTGAAATAAACTTCATTGCTGTGATTGTTATACAGCTAACAACTTACTGCTGAAATAAAATTCATTGCTGTGATTGTTATACAGCTAACAACTCACTGCTGAAATAAAATTCATTGCAGCGATTGTAAGTGTTAGAAGGAGAGAGAGGAGGAGATGAAAAGGTAAAGCATAGCATAGTCTTGTATACATTTCATAGCAAAAGGTGAGAAAGGGAAGTTAAAATGAGAAGGAAGGTATATAAGGCCATCATATATTGTAAGTGCTTAGCGCGAATTCATAACCCCTCGAAGCACACACGCTCACACACTCTTCTATAAAGGTTTAAGTATATTTCGAGAGATTATTAAGTTGTGCTAAGTACTCGTACAATATGACGAGTTACCAACTAGCCAAACTTACAAGTTTTAGTTAGGCCATCAGCCCCGCCGCGGTGGTCTAGTGGCTAAGGTACTCGGCTGCTGACCCGCAGGTCGCGGGATCAAATCTCGGCTGCGGCGGCTGCATTTCCGATGGAGGCGGGAACGTAGGCCCGTGTGCTCAGGTTTGGGTGCACGTTAAAGATTCCCAGGTGGTCGAAATTTCCGGAACCCTCCACAACGGCGTCTCTCATAATCATATGGTGATTTTGGAACCTTAAACCCCACATGTATCTCCTACTTTTTTTTTCTTGTTGTCGTTTTCCCCCTCCTATTGATGTATGAAACTTCACCTGTCACAGTTCTTCATGCATTGTTTCTCCTACTTTGTCTTTTCAAATACCAGAAACCCCACAGTATGCATTTGTCGCCTCGCTCTAAAGCACAACTGTGTAAAAATGCTTACACCATAGTCTCACAATGCTTTTTTTTTCTCTTTTTCTCATTTTTTTTCTTCTCTTGCCTACGGTTTTATTATGTGAGCCTGTTTTCTTTATATTATTGTGCCACTAATTGCCCTTCTGTTGCACTTTTTTTTATAATTAGTTGGTGTTTCCATTGTATCACAATTTGTGTACTGTTGTATTCTACTATTTTATATGCCCTCCTGCTATGATCCCTCTGGGAATGGCAGTATTTACAAATAAATAAATAAATAAATATAAATCAATCAATCAATTTAGTAAGGCCATAAGCTAGCTCCGCTATTTCTTCAGTCTTCGTACCACTACTTCGTGGCTGCGCCCCCCCCCCCCCTTTCTTTTCTTGTTTTAGTGCGCATCTGCTGATAGGACTGCAACTGGTAGCTTTTCAACAATGTTATACATAGGCGAGCTGCTGGCGAAATTTATAAGCGCGTTCATCTGCTCGTGTAGAGTAAACGTGCACACTCTGTCCGTCGCGCGAGTGCTGCCGTGTCCTCGCTTCCCTCCGGCTGTCAGAATATTCTACCACCATCGATATACAGGCCCATGTGCTTAGATTTAGACGCACGTTAAATAACCCCAGGTGGCTGAAAATTCCGGAGCCCTCTACTACGGCGTCTCTCAATCATATGGTGGTTTTGGGACGATAAACCCCACGTACCAATGAATATCCACCGCGAATATACTTCCACACCACCGCGACGGTCTATGGGTTATGGCGTTATAAACGTTAAGGTCGCGGGATAGAATTTCGGCTACGGCGGCTGCAATTCCGATGGTGACGAAGAAGTTTGAGGCCTCTGCACTTGGATTTATGCGCACGTTAAATAACCACAGGTTGTCAAAATTTCCGTCCTGCATTTGATTGATATGTGGGGTTTAACGTCCCAAAACCACCATATGATTATGAGAGACGCCGTAGTGGAGGGCTCCGGAAATTTCGACCACCTGGGGTTCTTTAACGTGCACCCAAATCTGAGCACACGGGCCTACAACATTTCCGCCTCCATCGGAAATGCAGCCGCCGCAGCCGGGATTCGAACCCGCGACCTGCGGGTCAGTAGCCGAGTACCTTAGCCACTAGACCACCTCGGCGGGGCCCTGCATTTCCGATGAAGGCGGAAATGTTGTATAGACCCGTGTGCTCAGATTTGGGTGCACGTTAAAGAACCCCAGGTGGTCGAAATTTCCGGAGCCCTCCACTACGGCGTCCCTCATAATCATATGCTGGTTATGGGACGTTAAACCCCACATATCAATCAAAATTTCCGTCACCCTCAACTACAACGTCTCAATCATATCGTTGCTTTGAGACGTTAACTCCCTACAATCATTATTATACGCGATTATGCTTCCACGCCGTCTGTACACCACACGTGAGGTCCATTACCTGCGACGAGTGACGGCTGAGCTGCGCCGGGGCACCGTCTTGCCGCGAGCCACCGGAGTTGCCCTTTCGCCAGGCGGTCGCCATCTCGCCGGCGGGGCTGTTGCAGCGGCGACCGGCGAAGGGCTGCGGACCACTGCGGCGAGCGGGCACGGTTCGGGGGTCGGGCGGCCGGGGGGGACTGCCGGCCTCCGTGCTCCAGAGACGACCTGGGCTGGCGCGCTGCTGCTGCACGACGGGCCGGCGACGCGTGCTCCTGCCACCAATCGCGCGAGGCCACGGCCGCCACGAGCTTCGTCTTCGTCTTTCACATTTCACGCAGGATGACGCATCCCAACAAAAAGCGGTCATGCGAGCGTGACGTCAATACTTGGTTTTATCTCTGAACGGCGGGCGATATCTGATACTTCACGAAAAGTCACACTAGAACCACAGTATAGCTAGCCAAAATTTTCCTTTTTGCAGGCGGGCGGATCAAAACCATGTAAGCTCGCTCGTGCACGCGTTTGCAGGTGCTAGTACACGTATGTAAAATTCCAAATTTTGGGAGGGGGGTGTCAAATTTCTCTCCCCTCGCTACGCAATTGTATACCTAGCTTGTATTCTCGTTTTACGTCTCAAAGTGGCGATCTAGCCACAGCTGTAGCATGTTCTCAATAAAACTACACGTGTAGCTGGGTCGTCCAAGCATTAGTTGCTATTTTACGAAACGTGGAGCCAGATGGCGTTTGAGATACATGCACAGATGCCAAAATACTGCGCTTACTAATACCAACGCCACGCACGCAGCTGACCAACAGCAAGGCGAGGAAATTCGTGCGTATATAGCCACGCGCGCTCCTATATCTGGTCTGCTAGCGCGTTCTCGATAATTGTCTTGGCCGCCGAGTATTGTATTAAAAACTGTGAGACTGTGCTGGCACAAACCACCGTGGTGGCTAAGCAGGCAAGGTGCCGCACTGTTAGGTTCGATTGATGTGTGGGGTTTAACGGCCCAAAACCACTATATGATTATGAGAGACGCCGTAGTGGAGGGCTCCGGAAATTTCGACCACCTGGGGTTCTTTAACGCGCACCCAAATCTGAGCACACGGGCCTACAACATTTCCGCCTCCATCGGAAATGCAGCCGCCGCAGCCGGGATTCGAACCCGCGCCCTGCGGGTCAGCAGCCGAGTACCTTAGCCACTAGACCACCGCAGCGGGGCGCATTGTTAGGTTCCTAGATGCATCCTCGATTGCCGTTCACGGTGAGCGTCGCATTTCGATGAACTTGATACGCAGGAACAACTGCGTACTGTCGTCAGCAAGCTCAAAGGAGCCCTGAAACACTTTTTTAAGTAACCATAGAATGGATTTACTAAAAAAAACCCTTATTTCCTCACGGATTCAACGCCGCAAAGTTTTCAAAGACTCCGACCAGTAGAAGCGAAGTTACAAAGATTTGTCGCACACTGGAATCGCATTCTTTCCGACGAAAGAGCTGGAAGTTGAACATTTTGGGGGGGGGGGGGTATGGAATTGGCAAAGAAAACACGTCACGCGCGTTGAGCGTTTCAGTTGAACGGGGAGCAGACCACACAAATGGTCAGATAAAAGCACCTAATACCTCGGTATGCTTGTATTGTGCGTCGGCATGCATGAGCAACACCTCGGCAACATAACCCAAGACAACGCGGTACTATAGTGTCAATAAAACTTTTTTCAGGGCATGCTGCGTAGCATTCATGTTGTGGTTGCTGACGACTCCACATTGATTTAGGTGCACGTTCAGGAACACCGCGTGGTGAAATATTAATCCAACATTCTTTGCTACGGAGTGAATCATATTACGGTTATGGCATGTGAAACCTCTGTATTTAATTAGGCAAATTACCGAGCCTTTTGTATCGCTGATGTGTCGTGCATGGCAGCAGTGGTCGGGTCGGTAGAATTTATCGAATGCGATATGCGGAGAACTTGACCAGTGCTGCTATGCAAGGTAATGTATGTGGCCACGTGCGCTAGAAAAACACGTATTGTAAGGTTTAACAGTAGCGAAAAGAAATCGATGCTTGGTTAGGATCGGTCGTTTTTAGCGTGGGTAACTACGAAGTCAACACAGTTGGTTCGGTTAGTCGGCGATGTTAAATACGGGCTCTTCCTTTCTCATCATTCGCTTAATTTCTGCCTGTTGAGCGGAATGCTTCCCTGCATTCTTTGTTATTTCATGACAACATATATGATTATTCCGCGTTATGTTGTTATGTGAGAGTGTAAGCTAGTCGCGAGAAACATTTTCGTGAGCCTGTGGGATAATAAACAGTACTAAAACGTGTATCATATTTACCCATATATTCCACCCAGTATACATACTAACACCGCTCACTCACTCATTCACTGTACTCGCACTTTCCTTTGAACGTCGACGCTTCCCTCGCCAAGTTCGAAGGCAGTGACGGAAAGACTAAGCGAAATCTTCACAATGCACGCAATTCCAGAGACACTAGACACTAACAACGGCCTTCCGTTGTCTGAGGAAGCCTTCGCATTGTTTATGTATTCTTGTGGCAGTCGTCATCACTGCGTTACTCCCCTGTGGCCTAAATTCAACTTTCCTGCGACCTCTGAAAATTACCTCTCTGCAGCAATAGCCTCTATAAAAAACAGAACGGAAGCGCGGACGGGTGGACGGACAGACATAAGAACGAACGGAAGCATGGACGGATGGACAGAAGCACGGACGAACGAACTCACGGATGTTCGGATGGACGATTCACTCCACTCATCATCATCATTCACTCCGTGGATATGCTGTCAAAAACAACTAACGCCATCTAGTTATATTATTCCCAATGACATGCACACAACGCCATCTACTGAACAACTCATACTATAGTGAACTAGATTCTAGTTTACTATAACTACAACTACAAAGGAGGGAACAACCCACGGCCTCGGGAGCTTCGCCCTGAAAAAAAGCATTTTTTTAGGCATTCAATGCCCCAACAGAGCAGCCCCTTCTGATTTTCTATGTTTCACCGCATAATGCTCTTGAAATGCGGTGGTGTGGACTTCCTCCTCCATGAGATGGCTGTAGTTTTTAAGACGACATTATTTCATGGGATACTTGAACGCAGAAATGTCAGCCTCTCTGCCACACGAAATGATTCAGAATCCAGCCAAAATTCAAGCACTTGCTAAACGCCCAGCCATCTTGAACTGGTGAAGCTTTCATACTTGGTAAAATAGTCGATCAAAAAGCAAATACACATATCTGAGGCACAACATCAATACGCAAGCACTATGTGGTGTGTTACTTTACTATGAAGTACACAGATACGTAATTCTATGTACCTTAGAGTTTGTTAGTCTGCGCTGAATATGAGACGTTATGCACAAAAGAAGACCGGCCGAAAACTATCGTCTTTTTGTTGTGCCATGCATGGCGGCTGCAAGTTACGCTAGCTTATGTGTCAGGTATTGCGGCAAAAATGACAAAAAGTATGAAAGATTTCTATTAATTATTCATAAGAAAGCTTGTTCAGAAAGCGAATATACCACTTTTTCTATTTTCTTGTATTTACAAACTTATCTTTGTAACGTTTTTGTGAAACGCATCGTACTATCAGTCATTCGTAATTAGTAAAACTTGTTGCTGGGCAAGTTGGTTTATAATTCTGGGTAAACTGGTGTGCGCAAATGCAGACAAACGACAGCAGAAAGAAGAGACAGGGACAAGGGCAAACTTTCAACTGAATTTACTTCTTCGTCATCCTGATATATATATAGTCACATACAACAAAGTAAAGTGGTCATAAGGTCAGTACCAAACATCTTACAGCAGGCCGCACGAAAAATCACGCTCACTATCAAATAATGATATTGACTTATCACTAACACAAGTGTTACCTCTTGTAGCGATATAAAAGGCTTCCATCGGTTCACGGGCTCTCGACCCAAAATCCTAATCTCTGAGAAAATCGGGGAGAACATGCAAGCTCTGCAATGCGCGGCCAACTGCGTGATCCTGTTATTTCTAAATGAAAGCTCATGTTCTTTTGCGCGGTCGTTAATGCAACGCCCCGTATGACCTTCGTAACATTTCCCACAAGACAGCGGTATTTCGTAGACGACTCCAGTCGCCCATATCACATACACAAACCCGTGTTTCTTTCCGCAACCGCTGTATCTCTTCTCGCCAAAGAAGATTCTGGGACAAAGCCCAGCCAGCTTACGTGAGACGTAGAACACAGTCGGCACGCCGTGCCGATCGTGTTATTCTTCTGTTGTGGTTTATCTGCATTTGCGCACACCAGTTTACCCATTCGTAATTAGTAGGTAAGGGTGCCATTCCTGCAAGGCTGTCATCATCGTTATAATCATCACCACCACCATCACTGTCACCGTCGTGATCGAAGCCACAACAGCATAAACGAATACTACAGTATATCAGCGGCAACCAAGCAACAATGCCGACAGCAAACGGCGTGGCTGTGGTTACGGTAAGAGCATTCATATTGATTGCTAACACACGTCTGTGTATATCTGCCTCGTGACAAAAAACGGGTGTCCTATTGTGTCGACCCATTTAGCCGGCAAAATGAGTCAGCCAATGAACTTAAAAACCTCTTGAATCGACTCTAAGAAATAAGAGAAGAAAGATGATGTCATTGTGCTTAGTTGAGGACTAAGGCGTCAAACCCAGAGTTTGCGTCAATGTCGGGTTCTCGAACGAACTTCTTTCGTGTTCCCTGGAGTACCGATGTGACAGAGGACAAGGAACAGAAAACGAAAAAGAAAAGCCTTGAAGCCAATTTTTGCAAACGTATACTTCTTTTGCAGGATAGAGCGCACAAAAAAAAGTCACAGCTTTGCCGCAAAAGCGAAGCAATGAATGCGATAGCAAAAATTGGCCCCGTATCTGCGTGTAATCTGCAAATGTCGTCGCAAGGCGATAGTCCTGCGCGTGGAGAGAGTGAACAAAACATTTATTTGATGTTCTGTGCAAGAAAATCGCTGAATGGTATTCCGGAGGCGCTGCGTTAGAGTGCCTCGAGCGTGCAGCGGAGGCGAACGAGCGCATCAAGTCACGTCACATGTGAGACATGAGCGTCATCTGGCAGTTTCTTCTGCAAAACAAAGCGCGTGGCCGTGCGCGCCCGTCTCAGAGGTGATAAGGTGTAGAAAACGAGGCTGCTGCTGCTGAAAAACATTTATTTACAGATGTTATTTACAGGGAGAGTGGGAACGGTCCTTAAGGGGCCGCCTCGTACAAACACTAGGTGGGCTCCCTCTTACGGGAGCCCATTGGCGACGGGTAGGTGCCACCACCATCTCGTCTTAGGAAAGCGTTGGAAACACTCCCCGTTCCGTGCAAGCGTTGCATGGTAAGCTCAGCGTGATAAGTGCTACGGTCCTTAAAATTGCTTATGTATGCGTTTTTGTTCTAGTAAGAGATGCATATGCAGAATATATGCGTGTTGTTATGGTGCCCCAGACATGCGCAATAATTGCTTTTTAATTGACAATTGCACAATCATGAACGCTCAACCTTGAGCAACATTGGTGGTCGCTGTAAATGAAGTCGGCCGTTTTAAGTACCCGATGCCGGTAAGAGTGGACAGACAGACAAACAGACAGACAGACAGACAGACAGACAGACAGACAGACCAAAATTTTTGCGTCGAAGGTTTCCAAGAAAGACTTTAAAAATTGGAATGTCACGCGCCGAACGGCAAGCAGATCGAAACGTGCCCCGCGGTGCTCACACGCAAATGACGCACGAAACATACTCACAGCTACAGATGAACGCGAATGAAGCACGTCCAGATGAAGCACGGTACAGATGAAGCACGGCCTTTCCGCAACCGGAGACTGTGCAACGAGTTCAGTAACCTTTGTGCGCCCGATAACTACAACAGAATCATTCCGGTGCAAGACCAAGGCGTACTGTTCTCCCCACCACGAGATAAGCGCGCGCACGTTTGAGCATCCAGCCCCCTCCTCTCCACGGGGCAAAGTACGCGGGAAAGATGAGAACGCGTGCCGCCGCGTCGTGACGATCTGGCGACGCGCGCTCATTGCGCCATCTCGCTGGTAATGCTGAAAAGACGATAGTTACCCCGAGATGAGCATCGCGAGTGGTAAGTGGTGGATATAAACAGCTTGCCGTTTCAACGTTAAAGGAGGTGATCCTTCGTGGCTCAGTGGCTAGCACCACGCACTCCCAAGCAAGCGGCCGGTGGATGGTAACATCCAGCCGAAAGTGTCCATCTAATTGTTATAGCAATAAAAATGGCGGGACGTCGACCAGAGACGCCTGTCTCTATACTCTGCTACTCCGTAGCTGGAGTGAAGGGTCAAGCGAAGACGGGAAAATGAGGAGAATGAGGTAACTACAAAATACTGTAGTGCATGTTATGTAACTAACTCAATGAAGACTACATACTGCACCCATTCCACGTATGTTGTTTCTATGTGGCTGCACGGCGCGTGTGGTTTTAAGTTTATGTACAGGGTCGACCGCGTTTAACAGGAATAGCTAAACTGTATCAAGACCGGAAAAAAAATAGAACGTTGATTCTGGTTCATGAGGGGAAACGTTCGTACGTTTAATCACAGTGTCGACAAACAAGATAACAATTTTCCGTATTTTGAATTGGAATTACTTTCTATGTGGTGTTGAATATTACTGATGTGTTCAACCTACATACGCACGACCCGTACAGTGATTTCAAATTAAGTGGTATTCGTCTATACATACGTAAATTCCTCCAATATAAAACGTACGCTGAGAGAGCAAATGAGCACGTTAACGCGTGTACTTTTTACTGCGTAGAGGCATACACACGTTTACAATTGCAGCTTGGACCCGTCTGTTATCCACAAATACACACGCATTCGTGGTTTTTCTAGTCCTTCGCACTGTTTTCGGATTAACGTGCAGACACTTTGCGTTGTCATGTGCCACACGGGTTGTTTGGAAACAACATACACGCGTTTGACACACGCATTTACGCATGCGTCGCCTCCTTGACACACAGCACGGAGTGTGGCGCCACCTTTGCACGCGGCGGTGCAACATTCTGATGCTCATCATCCTGATGCCGACGGTGCTGTACCACCTGCCAGTGTACACCGCTGTTCCTCTCGTGTGCACGGTGGTCACGACCCTCATGGACATCCAGGTGCACTAGTCTGATCAGGTGCGACACGCTCGGCACTTGTGCGACATGATCACTCTTTCCTATTTTGGGCAGCATGGTGATGGGCCATCAGATCTTAATGGTTGTAAGAGGGGTTTAGTATGTGTCGTGCATGCGAACGCAATTATGACAAAAATAAGTATGACGATTCATTTTAGCTAACAATGCTAGAAGTGGGCCGAATGAGAGAGCGGAGAGAGAGAGTGAAAGGGCAAGAGTGAGAAGAAAAAGAAGCATTTCTAACAGGCAACACTTAGCCTGGAAATATAGGAAGTTGAGCTGGTCTGTTGGGGATTTGGTATATGAGGAAAGATAAGTTATGAAAACACTCATGAAAGAAGAGAATCAGCTAATAAAAACACAAGGTGTCAATGTTCTCTGGATTTCTTCTCTTGTATCTGTTACTGTTCGCCTTACCTTTTTTTACTATATGTTGATCGTTCCTTCGCAGTTAATGTCTTTGTCATTAAAATGCTAACGCGGTCGCAGAAACGAGTGTATAGCTCATATAAATTTCTAAGGCACATATCCTCTTACTCAGGACTGGTTGTACGCAACAAATAACTTGAAGCGTTAGTCGCTTAGGCTCTGTGCAGTGTAGTTTCGTTACGCATAGTTTGCGCGTTTTATCAATGAACACTGCTTTTCGGTTGCACTACTTTACATCCTGCTTCGATTCATTACTAGACCCGCAAGCAGGTAGTAGGAGGAGCCTTGCTGGTATCGGGATGATTAATGTGTACTTAAAATATAAGCAAAACTGCCCAAAAATGTCGTCCCTTTCCAACCGTGTTCATAACACCCCTAAGATAAGGGTGTAAAAGGTGTGTTGCAAGGATGTTTTATTTACTAACACCCAAATGGTCAAAATAGGAGTGTAAAAGGGTGTTTAAAAGGGTGGTTTTAACGCATGTACTTGTTTTACACCCTAAGAGTGTGAAATTTTTTGCAGTGTATGCGTTGCGTTTTTATATCCTAGCTGTAGATGGCCTATCGGTGGTCGACTGCGACAATGAATAAAACTTATTATTCGGTTTTTATCCGTAAGCCAACAAAGCATTGTAATTGGCTCGGAGGATTGACTTTTCTACGCGCTGCAGTTTTCGGCGCATGTCACGGGGGAGCGGAGAAACCAAGGGTTTGCTAGGATGAAAGCCAAGTCTCGAGGAAGTTCAGCATTCGAGGCGACCACAGTATACCCCTTCACCATTGCTGGAATATTCAGACTTGTGGTGGCCGCATGGCACACGCAAGTAAACAGCCACCAGTGAAAATATTGCACCATCAACAAGCTATGAAGCCACTAATTTTCATGAAGCCTACTAGTACCACAACTCTAAAATTCGCAGTTTAGTAATAAACAAAACAAACAACTGAAAAAGAAGTCCCTTGAGAAAGTGTCATTTGAATGTTTATTTCCGAACTGAACAGAGCCGAGTGACAATAAAGTTAAGGCATCCAATAAAGTAAAATATGACACAGAGTGCGTATGTGCCACTTCTACATCATGACGAAGCACTGCTCTACAAGCACGCGTCTTCTATAACAATCAATGTCACCATCCATCTCATCATCAAAAAAGTTGTCATCTCAACTTCGCGTTTCAAACCAAAAAAAGCTTTTTTTTTCTTTATCGCGATTCCTCGAAGTGAAGAAAACCGCCACAAAATTATCTAAATTTGTTTAGAAATTGCCTTTCTAGTTTTCTTTTTCTTTGTTTTTCCTTCGTCGGTTTTTACCTTCGTAGGTTTTTCTTTCGTAGGTCTTCGTAGGTTTTACGTTTTCTATCACCTGTTGGGCAGCTGCGTCTGCATTGATGCGTTGCCGCACATTGTCCTTATATTGTGGTCTGACACTTGATATCGGGTGGATGCATCACAATTGTTATCGCCCTTGCTGGTTACTGTTATAATTTTTGCGTTTTTTTCAATAAACCTCTCTTGAAAATGAGCGTCTGTCCTGTGTGCTTCTTGTTTGTAACCGTTTATCACTTGCTTCTTTTTTCGCAAACAAGTACTTGCCAACTTTTTTGAACACATGTCCTCCTGTTGATGACGATGATGCCTCTTAATAGAATAATATAGTCATCACCATCATCATCATCATAATGGCCATTCCGCCATAGTGGTTTGAGTCGCACCAAGAAGACCAAACCAGCCAGCCTTTTCCTGGCAACCAGAGCGATTGTGAGCCGACCGATCTGATAACCTGAATCTACAACCGCGTTCAACGTTGGTTCTGGTGAAGTTGACTCGAATGGATACCCGTCGTGTGCTCGTTCTGTTGGCGCGGCTGTACGAAGAGATACTGCGTCAGGCCATCACTCTGGTCACGGCCGTGTCCATATGCATGCTGAGCGTGAGCGTTCTCATACGCGTCCTGGAGAGCAGCCGCAACGACGACTTCCGGCTGGGCTACGTGCGCTACCCGGAAAAGGACGGGGAAAGCGGAAGAGGCGACGAGGACTCCGTCTTGCTCATGAGCTCGTTCGCGAACGCCTTCAGCTTCCTCTCGGTCATCATGATCGTCAACTGCACTCTGGTGTTGCTCTACAAGAGCGGCCACTACCGCATCATACAGGTGATTGGAACTGCACACCAGCATGTCACGTTTGTAGGCTTGGGTACGCGGCGTCGACACATTGAGGCGCTTGTAAAGGCATCGCGGAGCATAGGCTCCGCCCAGATACCACCCTTTATGATCACGTGACAACTGGCACATCTGCAAAGCTGCCTCCAAACACCGGGCGTCGGGGCGCGCTACAGCCCTCTCCCCCTGCAAGGTTATTACGCCTTAAGAGAGGACGGCCTTACCTAAACAATTACATAACTTTCGTAATCACCTTGAAGGCGGACGGTGTCGCTGCCGCCGGTCCCTTATAAGTTATCACCAATGGCTGGCTGTTTTGCTCGCCACTAGCTGACGCGAAAAGAGGCTGTGTTTGTTCTCGCTCCCGCTTGAAAGCACTGCAAGCAGACGCCGGGGCGCGCAGGCCACACGCTCGCGTGTTCCCTTTCATAAAAACTTGACAGTATACATCACCGTTTAGCCACTGGTCACACAAATGGGTAGATACACACGCTAGCACGACGCTCAGATTCATATAGACTTTAAGTGTATTGAGAGGAGGATCCCAAATAACATGCCTCGATTTAAAAGAAAGCCCTTTTGAAGGATAAGCATTGTGGGGCAAGCTTTGATAAGCCTTCAACAATAATTTGAAGAACAAAAGGTTTTATAAATTGGCCTTAGTAACACAGGAAAATACATTTTGTGGCAAAACAGCTTTATAAGACCAAAATTCTATTATAAGGATTGCCGACACCCCTTACTCAAGATTGTCCTGTTCACAAATATTGAAGTTAACAAGTTTCAACTGCGCGAAGCTCCCCGGTATACAAATTAAACGCGAATATGCTCCTTGTGTGGAAACGCGTATGGCTTGACAAAAGCTACACCATGTCTAAACAACTACCCGACCAATGCTGGCCACTGCGAAAATGACTTGTAACGTTTCAACTGTAAACTTTCCCAGTGGCAGACTCACGCAATCCCCCTCCCTACATTCCACCTTTAATATGAATGCGCATGCTTATGTGCAGGCTTGGCTCATGGGTGGCTCGGCTATCTTGCTTTTCGCCACGGGCTACTACTACGGCGGCCGGCTACTCTTCTACTTCAACGTTTCGGTGGACCACGTGTCGTGGTCGTTTGTCACCTGGAACATTGGAATGACCGGCATAGCAGCGCTGTATTTCGATGGGCCGTATGTGATACAACAAGGATACTTGATATACACGTCCGTGCTCATGGCTCTCACCATCGGGGAGTCTCTTCCGGAGTGGACGGCATGGACGCTGCTCGTGCTGATTTCCATCTGGGACGTGTTCGCCGTGCTGTGCGTCGTAGGGCCGCTTCGAATGCTCATCGAGACGGCAAAGGAACGCAACGAACCGCTATTCCCCGCCCTAATATTTTCCACGTCATCGGCCTGGTGCTACGGACTTGGAGAACACACTGCTAGCCTGATTTACGTAGACGCCGTTTCGTCAGCGGTGTCTGTGCGCTCGGACCTCTGCCTTCACGAAGCCGAAAAATCGGGCTCTGTTTTGGCTTCTCCCGCTCCTGTCGGTGCCTTGACGATTGGACGTAATGATCACGATGTGTCACTCGATTCATCGCTTAGTCGCGAAGCTATTCAGGAACGTGAATACTCGCCCATAGCTTTTGAGATAACTTCGGACCTGCCACTTGAGTCGTCAGATCAAGGCTACTTGGCCCCACCAGCTAAAATAGGTGCGTTTGCATCAGTAAGTTCGGCAGTTAGAGGCGGACCAGCGAGAGGTGGTGTCCCAGGCCCTACAGCAGCCTCTAGTGGAACAATTAGCACGCCAGGCAAGAAGGAACACGCTGGTGGCTCGTCAGTCGCCCGGAACTTCCCAAGACAAGACCCGAGGCACTTCCGTGCCTCGTTTTATACACGCGACGAAAGGAGCTTGCCCGTTTCGCGTCGTGGCGCCGACTTTCCTGACGCGCGACGTGATCAAACGCCACCGCATTTTGTTCCGGCCAGGAACATGTGCGCTTGCAACAGGCCTGCGGCCGCCATCCGCAATACAGGAGGGTATGCGCATCAGACGCCACCTGCCGCCGACCTGCCCGGAAGTAAGGGCATGAAGATGGGCCTGGGTGACTTCATTTTCTACAGCGTCCTTGTGGGGGAAGCTTCAATGCGTGGCAGCGCTGTCACCGTGCTCGCCTGCTACGTGTCCGTAATAGTGGGCATATTTCTCACGCTCGGCCTTCTGGTGATGTTGCAGAAGCCTCTGCCAGCACTGCCTCTGTCTATCAGCATGGGATTGCTGGCCTACTTTTCAAGCGTATCCCTCATAGAACCATTCCTCGACACAGTGGGATTCATGGCGCTCTGAACGGCAGTAGTTATAGCGCGTACTTCCATCCAGCTGTAGACATTCAAATTACACCCACTGTGCTTAATGAGCTCTCCTCAGTGGTCTTGCCGCTCCCCCTTTTTTTTTCGAAGCATTAACATACCCGTATTTGTGAATGCTGCATTGACAGTTCTACAGTTTCAATAAATATGTGACATATCTCGCAAAACCTCAATTTCAATTACATGTCTATCAACGAGACCTGGTACATGTATACCGGTTTTCTGAACGCAACGAGCATTCGGCTGAACGAAAGGCGAGGCGTGCTTTAAGAGCATTACAAGAGGCCTGTAGCGTGGTGTTTGCACTGCTGGAATCGTCAAGCCAGCAGTTCATCGTGAAGCCAGTTAGGTCTTATTCCGTCTGTGCCAGTGTGCTGCAATATCTGAAAGCTGCTCGGCTTTACTAGTTGTTAGTTATTACGCAGTTGCACACCACTGGCCCACAGAGCCATTTAACAGTGATGCCACTACCGGGAAGAAAGCAATGTTCCGTCCAGGCTTGGCCCCGTAGGTGGATGGGTTCCTCGATCTTAGTAGCCAGGATATACATAGGAAGGCACCACAAAATAACCCACCACCCACTTTGGATCAATTCGAGTGCTTCGTCTTTGCTGCAACATGTCACATCCGCACTCGAATGACGTGATCAAGGGAATGTATCTGTTACCTTAACACATGGCATCTGCTATTCTATTACCCTTTGGCGAGTTGGATCGGTATGTTCGATGACGCTGAAAACACAAGGACCAAGGAACTAGCGCACGTCCTGTCGCATTTCTTTGCTCCCACCTCTGCAACTAAAATTACCAGACTGACTATTACTTGTTTCAACACACTTCAGTCCCATTGTTTGGCCCACATGGTGTCTTTCATTGCGGTTTAGATCAAGAAAATGCCCTACATCCCCCTCTCCCCTCCTTCTCCCCGATATGTGCAAGTTAGGAGATTTCAGCTTCCAATAGAGCTTGCTCCCAAGAATTGTTGATCACACGGTGCACATATGCGCTAAACTAGGTGTGAGCAATGATTATGCACCGCTACACTAGTCACAGATGTAGACAGAAATAATTTACGGCATCCAGCTCACAACCTGCCAACAGGAGGCAGTGCTTGTTGTGGCATAAGTTATATTGAGAAAGGTTCGACACCCGATTATGTACAAAACTAAATCATCCGTATATTTTTTTATTTGCAAATGAGGCACATGTGCTTGTGGAACGTCACCTATCCAAAATTATACAATAAGCGCAACATACGTTAAGTTTACAACGTCAAAGTGCACTTGATATTTACGCGCGTTCTACTACCAAAAGCCCTGTTCCAACGTTCCATGAAATTTGTCAAAAAGTCAATTAAACTTAATAAACATGAAACAAAAAAATGCAAAAGATAATAAATGCAAGTCAGAACACCAAATACGCAGTGTCTGATGGGCTGTTGAAACGTTTAGTGAAGCTGCAAACGTATCTGCAACGAGTTCGTGACCGTATTCAGACATAAAAGAAACGATAAAATGAAAGAGCAGAGTTCACGGCAAGGCCCGCAGTTTGTGGCACTATGAGCCTCAATCAAAGAAGGCTCACTTCTTAACCGAGTTCATTTTTGAGCCGCTGGGACAGTTGAAGCCCGCGTGGAAAGCCGGCGAATTGAAGACCACCTTGTAGCAGTTAGCACAAGTTCTGCACGCCGAGTATCAAGCACGCCATGTAATGATTCTGCGCGTCGGGTGCCAAGCACGCCCTGTAACAAAGAGTAATGAAGAATACTTTATCTTCAGACAGGCCACGAAGAACGGGTTTGGCGTGCCCCTATTTCAGAGCGCTCGCCAACGCCTCGAAAGCGACCTCCATGGCCGGTACTATGGAATCTGCGCTCTCTATCCCCTCGTCTTGTAGACAGGAGTCCTTAGGCTCGAAAATTCCCGCTGGCACGCTGTAAAAAAAGCGCCGCCCTGTTCCTTATATTCCAGTGCCAGGGAATCTCCACGCTGTCCAATGCGCACACCTTTGCGCAATGCGCAAGCCAGCAAAAAGGCGAGCACGTCGTAGAACATAACATTTCGTTCCGTCGTTTTTATACTATGCCGACGGGTTGTTCTACGACCTTAAGAACTTAGCTGTATCTGAACACCAGCGGCGGAATGTTGGTCGGCAAACTTAACGCGGCCTCTAACTTGGATGTCCGGTTGCCTTTCGATATTGCTAGACGGGCCTCGAGCCAATAATCCCGAAAACTCACTCATCTGGCAAGTCTTTCTACAGACGCTCAAAAAAGTCGCTGCTGATGGAATGATGTAACGGAATGAACAGCATCTACGGGGCCTTCATCATCTCCGCCGCAAGTTCATAGCTATCTTCATCGAGCCATGTTGAACTTGTCAATTTGCGCACTGCTGCTGCTATCAAACTCTCTAGGTACATCAACACTGGCTTTTCGTCATTACGCGTAAAACGGGTAATGAATTCCAGACCTGATACGATGATCTTGAAGCTCTGTTCGACCTGGAAGGCGCGCGCTATGGGCTTAAATGGCTCTTATTTCCACTAGTCGCCGTATCGCACCGGCTGTAGCTTCGGATAGAACAGCGGCGCGCACACCTGCACGAAGAGCCAGGATAGGTGGCTGATCAGCTGCCGGCCCGCGTTATAGTTACTGAAAAGGCGTCCCAACGCCAGGAGATGTCCGATGTCGCGGATGAGAACTACGTCGTGAACGCCCACTTTCGGCCTGGAGTTCAGGTGCTCGTTAATTCCATCCCGCCATGCCGCGAAAGAAACCAGAACAGTGAACACGCCCATAACGTTGCGCGTGATGATTGCCGGTCTCGAGAACAGCGAGTTGTACAGCTGTTTGAGGATGTGAGCCTCCGCCTGAGTGAAGGCTTCGATATTCTCCTTATCTGTTATTTCCATGGCGTTGTCGCGAAACGCTTCGTAATAATCATTCCAGTAGCCCACGTAGCCGCCGACCCTCACCACCGCCTTGTACTGGTACACCAAATAGGCAAGCAATCGCCAGGCTTGACGTCGGGACGCCGGGGTACCGAATTCTGGCCAGTGTGAACTCTGAGTGAAAGCCAGAAGAGTATCTGCCACTTGAAAGACAACGTCGATAAGACGCCGAGGGCGTTCGCGTGCTCTTCCTGCAGCTCCAGCCAGGTTAATACTATGGATGGCATGAGCTCCTTGAAGACTACGAGGTCCTGCTCCTTCAGCTTGCGTTCCCATGCAGGAATAGTACATAGCCAGCACTTTCTTTGCAGCCGGAAGCTTACCCTCACCACCGCCTTGTACTGGTACACCAAGATAGGCAAGCAATCGCCAGGCTTGACGTCGGGACGCCGGGGTACCGAATTCTGGCCAGTGTGAACTCTGAGTGAAAGCCAGAAGAGTATCTGCCACTTGAAAGACAACGTCGATAAGACGCCGAGGGCGTTCGCGTGCTCTTCCTGCAGCTCCAGCCAGGTTAATACTATGGATGGCATGAGCTCCTTGAAGACTACGAGGTCCTGCTCCTTCAGCTTGCGTTCCCATGCAGGAATAGTACATAGCCAGCACTTTCTTTGCAGCCGGAAGCTTATGCGAGCCCGTGGCGAGCATCGCCTTCAAAAAGAGGAAACGAGTGAAGAGCACTCTATCAACGGGCGACCTGACGTGCTTGGTGTGCCGGCCCGAACGCTTCCACTTGAGTACACGTAGGCGCTCGACTCGGTCAAAAGTCTGGCGTGAAGGAACCTCTCGTTTCGCAGAACGTGGGGTGTTACACGCGGCGTTCGGCGATGATGGTGAGCAGGACAACCACAAGCAGTACGACGACGACGGCCATGACAGCGGTGACGGAGGCGGTGATTTTGCTCTTGTGTGTGACCTATTCACCGCAACCTCTTTCACGGATGTCTCGAGCTGTTTAAAGGAAGAAATGAAGGATCAATACTTATTGGTCGGGAGAACAACGCGCCCGTGCACCACCCACCCACTCGCACTCACACACGCATAAATATGCAGCCTTTTTAGGAAGTTTTTGAATATCGCACCGCAAGCCCTTGCATGGCGGTCGATCCACTGCGTGTGCGTCGTAACGCGAGCCTTAGATAAGGTACCTAGATAAAACAAACAACTTGTTTTATCTAAGGACCTTAACGCACATAGGCCATCATAGCGGACACATCGTTGATCCTTTAGGCCTTATATAGTCAACATTAGCCAACTCTAAAGCCAACATCAGACGTCATTTACCTGACATTATTCATTACTCAGTCAGTAATAGCCGGCGTGGTTTTCATTTGGCTAGCACTACCCGATATTAACATACTACTGCGGAGCGAATACAGAAGTACATCAGGGTACCTGTTTTTCGCTGTGCCGTCTTTTAGAAGAGACGAGCACAAATAACGGTGGGGCAGCGTCTCGTTCCTAAACTGGGTAGCCTTTTGCCAGTAGGCCAAAATCACAGCATGCTCTGCGCGATGCGACGGCTTCTTCTTCGGTGCTGATGCTGATGACCTCTGATAGATGGCGCTCACCCACAGAGGGGGATGGGCCAAGAACCGGGCGGCAGGGTACTTAAACGAAACTAAAATGAAAATAACGCCAATCTGAAAAAGTAGTTTAGAAATAATACTACCAATAAACAAAAATGTTTGCTGAGCAAGCGGTAAAACCAACTCTTGTTTTTGACAGACATAGCTACCAATTATAAACTAAAGATCTGAAAATGTTAGGGCACGGTAATAATTTAGTTGCGTTTATGTAATCAAACACAGTGGAGCATATATCCCAGTGGCAGTAACCAAATGAAGTTCCGCCAAGTGATAAAATTACTGGTCTAGTTTGATTTGAACGTGAGACCGTGCGAGCACGCGCAGGCGTGTTTTGTCGGTAACGATGAAACGCTGTGTTATCGTCATTACCAAATACGTAAACGCTAATTCAAAATTAACTATCCATAAAACACATAATGACACACAAATTATTTTTA